ATCATCTCTGCCTTGTGTCTTTCCTGGTCTCAGACTCTGGATCGCCTTCAGTACTTCCTCAACAGATGGCACCTCAAGCGGCCACTCACAGGGGGTGACTTCTTCGTCCAATATTTGAGGCGCCTCAGCAGGGTCATCCCCACTTTGCCCCATGATGTTTTCCAGGCTGAGGAATTTTACCCTCCCCCAAGACCTCACAGAAATGCTCAGCAATTCTGCAAACCTGTTCCTGGGGGTAAGAGATTGGATCACCTTTCTTTCCCCTAATGATGGTAATAGGTGCGGCACTGCAAATTTTTTTATTGAATTAAAGAGCGATTTGTGATTGGGGGCCATTGAGGCAGATTCCATCTCCTCAGCAACCCGTGACCACCACCCATCTTTGCAGCGCCTCATGGCTCTCCGAACCTCCGAGCGAAGGCTGCGGTAAGCCTCCTCATTCTCTAACGTGGGATGCTGTAGATGATGAGAGTGGGCCTGTGGCTCTTTCTCAGCCAGCCTGAACACCATTGTCAGCCAGGGTCTCTGGGGAGGTCTGGACCGTGTACCCAACACAGCCATTGCAGCTGTATGAGCCACAGTATAAAACCTCAACCATTTCCCCTCGACATCAGGAGGAGTGGGGGACGATGCCAATCCCAGCTGCAGCAATGATGAATTTCTCGCTTACAACTTTCATCAGCGAGCTGAGACCAGACGCTATGGGTTTGAACGGGGTCCTGGGTGTACACCCACCACTGGAGTGGTAGAATGGCAGGCGCATCTTACAGATGACAAGTCGATGGTCAGTGGGCAGATCAGCTCCACGGTAGGACATGGGCCCGCATCCACTGTTCCATCACTATTTCGTCCAGAAGATGTTCCTGCTTGTACCTGGAATGTATCCATGATGTTGTGTGGATGTGCTGATGCCGGAACAGCGTGTTGGTAAATACAAGCCCATGGGCTGCACAAAAGTCTAGCAGCCTCCTACCGTTATTGAGCTGATCTGGCCCCGTGCCTTCCAATCACTCCAAACCAGGTGCCAGCATCATGACCACCTCGGGCATTAAAGTCACCCAACAGGATGACTATCACGAGGGGCCACTTTAGCTAACACCTGTGATAGGAGGTCATAGAAGGCATCTGTCTCATCGACCCGGCCTGCATTCCTCCACGGATGTTCGTCTTCGGTGGGGGCATAAGTAACCACGACCACCACTCCTCGCCTCTGGTTGATGGGAAGGCGAGCCCAAAGTAGCCTGGGGCTTACAGCTTCCCACACCTCACCGCCACGTTCCCACGCCCCCTTCATTATTTTGTTTAGAATAAGAGCCACTCCTTGTTGTTTGGCTGTCTCCTGCCCCGAGTAGAGGACTGTCCACCCCTCATGGTGGCAGGAGCCAGAGCCAGCCCACCGGACTTGAATACCACAGAGATCCAGATCCAGACGGTACCGGTCCAGTTCCCGACAGAGGAGTGGCAGCCTCTCCTCTGTAGTGAGCGTTTGAACATTCCACGTGGCCACCCGCAGTGGCTTTTTTGCTGCTTCTTGAGGAACCCCGAGGGTAAGGATTCAGTCTCCTGGCTCTGCCAAATGGGGTTTGGCCAGGAGACGTCATAGACGCCTGTCCCCTCTGTGTGTATGTCCCTGCACCCACGGTAACACAGGCGCACACACACCTGCCAGGGCTGGCATACCTGGGCATTTGCCCAATCTTTCTTTCTGTACACACATTCAAGTAGGTTCTATATATACATAACTGCTACATTCCCGAACGTAACATTGAATACTTCGGTACAATATTTACGCGAGCTGTTCTTTTGGCCGTCATCGTCGTGACCCAACATCTCAAGTACGAAAAAAGTGACCAAAAAAAGATTAGTAAACTCCATAATGGTCGCGAAAGCCGACGTGTTCAACCAAATATAATACTGTTATACATCCCTGTCAGTCCCCAGATTGACGAAGTCCTCCACACACCACGGTACTCGTGGAGGTAGGGGGGGGGTTGTTTGACCATATTTCACCATGTTAGTGCTGGCTGGTGAAGGGAGCGCGCCCCAGGACAAGCTATGCGGCTTCGCTTTGTGCGATTTCGCGGCTAACCTGTGGCCACCCAAAATTCGCTTTATACGGTTTTAATTCACTCGTACGCAGCTGTGCGGTCGGACGTGAGACAACATTGTGTGTGTGTGTACTGTGTGTGTGTACTGCGTGTGTACTGTATGTATGTACTGTATGCACTGTGTATGTACTGTGTTTGTGTACTGTATGCATGTACTGTGTGTGTGTACTGTGTGTGTACTGTGTGTGTACTTCGTGTACTGTGTATATGTACTGTGTGTGTACTACGTGTACTATGTGTGCACTGTGTGTATGTACTGTGTGTGTACTCCGTGTACTGTGTGTGCACTGTGTATATGTACTGTGTGTACTGTGTATATGTACTGTGTATATGTACTGTGTGTTTACTCTCCAGGTTACTCGGCAGGCAGCTGTCTCCTCGTGAGGTTTCTCTTTGCGCGCCCCCTCTTTTTTGGAACGCATCTCCTACTACTACTACCACCACCATCGCACACAGCGAGGGAAACCTGTACCCACACACATCAGCCGCCACTGATGTTAGGCGTGAAGATTGATAGGGCAGTGCGCCAATCACTACTCCACCACTCCACAGGCTGTGCATTAATGAATCCGTTAATGTATTTATGCATCGCATGTGAACGTGTACAGCCATTTTGGCAATCCACTGCTGGATGAGCGCCTCCCCCACACCACGTAGCTTGCGGGGGGTTGTGTGACCAGGCACACATATAACTATGATATAACGGCAGTAAGGTATCATATATATTGTTTTATACTCTTACTGTTATTCGTTTATTGTATGTCATTCTGTTGTTCTGTTCGAGTTCATGTGGGGCTGGACGGCTGTGAACAAGAGCTTCACAGCTCATCGGCCTCTTCCAGCTGAGGGGCCGTCCATAAATGACGTCACGCACCTAGGGGTGGGGGTGGGGTCAGACATTTGTGACGATGTGTGACGGGGGGGGGGTGAGAAATGTGACGTCACATCAAAATGCGCAACTTTAAATAAATATAGAATTGTTATAACAACGATACTAATTGTTATAACAGCACTCCTGCAACATCAGAGTGCAGCGCCACATTAAATACGCACTGCAATGAGAATAGTTTAAAGCGATTTGAAGCATGTTTTTTTTTCAAAATGGAAATATGGTTTTGGGGGCGGGGGCAGAGCTTTGTGACGTCATATTTGAGGGGGGTCTGACTTTTTGTGACGCCGTGTGACGAGGGGGGGAGGGGGGAGGTCAAAAATCGTCCAAAATCGCGTGACGTCATTTATGGACGGCCCCTGAGAGCAGATGTCTGTGTATGTTTATGTCCACGCAAGAACGGAGGTGCAGCAACACCGTAAAACAATTGCAAATTTACCGCAAACGCCAAACCCCATAAATGCACACCGCTTACGCCCCACAGTGTATCGGTTTCCTGTTTGACAGTGGAAGATATTGACACATTGGTTATATTTAAAAAATAAAATAAAGAGTAGATAACATGACGGGCAATTATAAAACGTATTTACATTCAGATGGTTCTGGCAACAAATCCAAGTTTATCTAAATAGACTGATCAAGGGGGAGTCATCCTTGAATGTAATACACACGTGCCATTGTTTGAGGTTGACATCGTGGAGAGGTATAAGATGTTTGTATGTTGAACTTCTTTCCCGCCGCGTGTAGCCAACCGTGCTCATCGGAGATGCGATGTAAATTCAACAGAGCACCTGTACGCAACTGCGTCTCAAGATGCAGCACTGCACAGAAATTATCGTCTTGTGCGTGACAGCGATATGTTCAGAAGCCCAATGCCATTGTTTGAGGTCTTCTGGCCACGACGAGAGGGCTCCAGCAAGAGATTTCGTGTCGTTTTGCTGTTCATCCTCCATCGAATGACCGCAGACCACAGTGGCTTACTTACACGGTCCACAGTTTTGGATGCATGCCCACATTCGCACTCCTGTGGCCATGCCTTTAATTTTACATTTAGGAGGAGCAGGTGCAGCACAGCAATGGTGTCCCTGCAGTATGCTGTGGTAATAGAGGCGAAGGAGCAACCCTGCAGGTGCTTGCTCGTGCCACTGCTGGTGGAAGGGCCTCCACTTTAGAGTGGTAGCTCTGGAGAAATAAGCATCTCTTTACAAGAGGGGGACATTTTAGCCCACTTCTCCATACTTGGCCATACGTCTTCGAAGAGTTTGGCAGTGTCCACGATTTTTACTCAGTTTATACGACTGGGTGGATGGGTGGACAGAGGCAGTCGTGTAGCTGTAGGCATAAGCACACCAAAGCAAAAGCGCGTGGCCCCAAAAAACTCAAGGGGACGCAGATTCACTGAAAACAGCCAATAAATGTCTCTGTTCTCTCATTTCATTGACATCTCTATTTTGGTCTGCATTTTTCACATATCACTCGATCCATTCGTCTATATCTCTTCCGTCATCTCACTAGGATTTCGTGGATTCATATAGGGGCCCCCAAAATAAGTTCTACTCGGGGCACCCCCCCCCCCCCATTTCCTTTCAGCACTGAGCGGTAGCCCCGTTGGCCACTCGTTGCCGAGGTTCATGGTTCGAATACAGCGGCCGCCCCGGTCATTGCTGCAGTTGTGTAATAACCGTGACGACACCGCTACGTGCGTCGTCTGCTTCACTCAACGACGTCATTTGCAAGAGGAAGGCCACCGTGCGTGTCGGCGTCCGGGTCCACATTTTGGCAAGTTACTCAATTGGGATTATAAGTGCACAGCAGCAGCAATCATTGGCAGCCTAATGCCCAATGCCCCTGGTCAGAGACTCAACATGGCCTCTTGAGTTGAGATCTTGCAATAAACCACCCCTGCGATGTTCCATGCCCCATGTGATTCCCCATTGTCTCTCGTCGGCGTGTCTCACGTCCCTCGCTCCGTGTCCCCCGTGTCCCCCGTGTCCCATGCTCAGAGCCGTCTGCTGCCCTGGCTCAGCTCTCGGCAGCTCCTGGCGTAGTCGGACATGACGCCCACCCTCACCGCCGCTCTCCTGCTGTGTGAGTAACCCCCCCCACCCCACCACCTGCCCCTCCCCCAGCCCCTTCCACCCACTCCCAAGCCGGGCCGCACCTCCTAGTGGCGCGTTGTGCAGACTCCTCCACCACCCCGTTATCTCAGGTAAACAGGCGTCTGGATGTCACCACATCTGAAGTCGTTCTGCAAATATTGGGACATGCTGCATTGACTTGACTTTCCGGGGGATGATTTCAGAGGTGGGGGGGGGGGGGGGGGTGTAGGTGCGGGAGGGTACAGGGAAGAGAGGGAGAGGAGACCGCAATATGAATAAAATGCAAATAAAGATTTATCATCAAGAAGGAACAGTGAGTCATTTCCTCCGACCAAATAATCTTGAATGTGCCCGATCTTGCAGGATATCACAAGTTTAGCAGGATCGAGCCTGATAAGTACTTTGAGAGGAGACTGCCTCCTGTCAATGTCAGATGTTATAGGCTTAGGCTATGAAGTGGCCAGAAGATGGAAGCCAAGACCACGGGTGGCTGAAGGGAGTTCCAGAGGTAGGATAGTACGTAGAAGGGAGTAGAGTGAGATAAGAGGGGACAGGCAGGAGAGTGCGTGGAGGTGAGTAGAGTGAGATGAGAGGCAGGAGAATGCTTGGAGGGGAATAGAGTGAGATGAGAGGGGCAGGGGCGAGTCCGTAGAGGATCTTGAAGACTGAGTGCAATCATTCAAATTCATACAAGGACGTTTTATTTCTATATATGTAAATGAAACTTCTTCTAGAATGAGATTGCATTATTGTTAAATTAATCACGCGGAATTCATTGGAGGATAATTTAAATTGAGATTGTTTATCCCCCCCACACCCCCCGCATATATTCTGCCCCACTCATGCCCACCCTGCTACCACGGCCACCTCCTCCACGCGATTGTCCCGTGCGTCCGGGCCGCCGCAGCAGGCATGGAATGTTTGACTTAGCCCCAGGATCCTGGCCCCGGAGCCTGGCACCTCGCTCCGCTCGAAGCTTCGCTCTCCTGTCGCTTCGTCTTGGTGATTCATGAACAAATAGCGCGGCTCCACTCCAGGCCTCACCTTTGCACCCCCCCACCCCACCCCCCCACCACCCACTCTCCATGGAGAATTCAGGTGCTCGAGTGAGTGACCGTGGGTTCAAGTTAAGTATTTTTTCCATCTTCCAAGTTTCTTGAGGACCTGGAAACCTCTCTGAATTGTCAGCTGCTGTCGAGATGTAAGGACACCTTTGAGAAAGCAAGCGGGTGTGGGACCACGCCATCAACGCTGATGTCGGGCAGTGGCGGAGCCAGGATTTTCAGGTAGTGGGGGGGGGGGGGGGGGCAAACACCCTCCAACAATGAAAAATTATTGGAGTTGTGAGTAAGTAAGGACTTGTCCTTTGCTTTTTATTTGACGCGTGTTCGGTGACGGCTCAGCCATCGATCGAGGGTCGAATTCGAACCATGTGTGATCGGCATCGCGCTCGCTGAAGGTAAGCCGTGTACTGTATATGCAACGGCGCACAATTCTGAGTCACTTAGAACTGCTTTGCCGTTACTTATTGCCAATTTTGGACTCAGACTATTGTCCTATCATCTTACAGAGTCCCTGGCACGTAATAATATGCTACACAGTGGCAATGGGGGTCGCAAAATCCCGATGTATTACTAATAAACCCCAATTATCCGATCGAAATTATGGATTTCCATCGGATCATTGGGGGGGCACGGGCCACCCCACCCCCCCCCCCCCCCCCACTGGCTCCACCAGTGATGCCGGGGGGGGAAGAGAGTTGGCTGCCGATCGCAGAGCGCGAAGCACAGCCTTGAAGGCCTGGAGGCGAGGGGGCGGCAGCTGAGAAGGAAACGTCTTGCTGCCACCTGCTGCTGCTACCTGCTGCTGCTGCCACCTGCTGCTGCTGCCACCTGCTGCTGCTGCTACCTGCTGCTGCTGCCACCTGCTGCTGCTGCTACCTGCTGCTGCTGCCACCTGCTGCTGCTGCCACCTGCTGCTGCTGCTGCTGCCACCTGCTGCTGCTGCTACCTGCTGCTGCTGCTACCTGCTGCTGCTGCCACCTGCTGCTGCTGCTACCTGCTGCTGCTACCTGCTGCTGCTGCTACCTGCTGCTGCTGCCACCTGCTGCTGCTACCTGCTGCTGCTGCTACCTGCTGCTGCTGCCACCTGCTGCTGCTGCCACCTGCTGCTGCTGCCACCTGCTGCTGCTGCTACCTGCTGCTGCTGCTACCTGCTGCTGCTGCCACCTGCTGCTGCTGCTGCTACCTGCTGCTGCTACCTGCTGCTGCTGCCACCTGCTGCTGCTGCTACCTGCTGCTGCTACCTGCTGCTGCTGCTACCTGCTGCTGCTGCTACCTGCTGCTGCTGCTACCTGCTGCTGCTGCCACCTGCTGCTGCTGCTACCTGCTGCTGCTGCCACCTGCTGCTGCTGCCACCTGCTGCTGCTACCTGCTGCTGCTGCCACCTGCTGCTGCTGCTGCCACCTGCTGCTGCTGCTACATGCTGCTGCTGCTACCTGCTGCTGCTGCTACCTGCTGCTGCTACCTGCTGCTGCTGCTGCTACCTGCTGCTGCTGCCACCTGCTGCTGCTGCTACCTGCTGCTGCCACCTGCTGCTGCTGCCACCTGCTGCTGCTGCGCGCGCCCAACGAAGTTGCGTTGGGCGAGCCAAGGCCCGGGGCTCGTGAGCCACCCCTCGGACTCGTCGGCGCGGGAGCGAGCGGTGAGCTTCATGTCCACCCGTCGCCCCGGCGATCAGTGCTGGAATCTCTATCTGCGATACTGGAGTGGTCGTCGTACTCGGATACGAGGGGGATTGCCGAGAGGGAGAAGACGAGGGACCGCCCTGCGGTGGCACAGATCGAGAACGTGGACGTCGGCTGAGAAAATGGAACGAAATCTGTCAAAGCGCGCAAAGGTGGAAAGGTGCACGCTCGGAATTTCACCGAGTGACAGATAGAGGAACGCACTTTGTGTTGAGTGATATAAAGAAAACAAAAATGAAAAGCAAGTGGGCTTCTGCAGGACATGTCACTGGAAGGGATGGTGGGTGTTCATTGAGTCGGACGATAGAATTGCAGCCGAAAACTAAACTAAAACGTTTTATTTGACCAGGTAAGGCCCACTGAGCTGTATAGCTCCTTATTCAGAAGTGACCTGGCCACAAATGATAGCTCAACGGAGTGGCGTATCACGGGAACATTTATAGCCGTCAAATACTCTAAATCTGGAGGGAAAAAACTAGAGGACCCGGAGAAATATCCACGTCACCAGAAGGAGAACACGCAAACTCCAAATATACAGGCATCATCATGGTTGGGATTAAACCCACGACCTCCTGTATACCAGGCGAGGTAGTTAACATCTCCTAGCCACCGTGGCGAGATGTTAACATCTCAAAGGAGGGAACATGCGTGCAAGTTCGCGTTGAGTTTTTGTTTAATTTGTGCTCGTGCAGCGCTGCCAACTCAGTATTTCAAAACAAAAGAAATGGTGTGTTTTCCAATGTTTGGGGGCTAAAGAACCACAGCATTTCTCCGGCTGGCACGGGGTCACGGTGGCAGCAGCAATAATAATCTGAGATTACGCGCGTGACAGGGGTTATGGACGGACAGACACAACGGCGTTGTTGTTTCCGTCATAATTGGACATTGCTGTGTGCGGCAGGCGATACAAGACGGGCCCCCCCAACCGGTCTGTGCTGGGCTCTGAGTAAAGTTGTCAGGAAGAGGGTCGGGGTTCAGGGTCATAATTAGGGCCAAGGTTGGGATCACGTGGTTCGAGTCAGATCGTGTTTATTTGGCAAGCGAGCCGGTGATTAATCCCCGAGTGTCGCACCACACTCTTGGTGAGCAGAGACGGGAGGCTTCATGCAGCCTGTGATTTGTCAGATTATTTGCTTGTTCATTAAAGCGTTACAAGCCGACTCGTGAACCTATGAGCAAACATTTGCACGAGCCTCCACCCTCCGTAGGAATTTACGAGGCGCTTTACTCGATTCCCCGGGATACCTGCCACGGTGTGATCTTGGCACAGCAGGTTTTGCAATCCAGAAATCGTGGGGGAAGTTTCTTAAATCCGTTCACTCGCGGTGTAAATGGTGCACCAGAGTTTGAACGGCAGGTCGAGCGGAGTGTTTCAGTTTAATTTAGTCTCATTTATTTTGGTATCGCCCTGTGAGCCATTCGGCTCTTGAATCGGGTGCAACCGCAACAAAACAAAAACATGAACAAGAAAACATCTTAAAGTGACTATGTGACTGTGCAAACAGAAAATACAGGAGAAAACACAGCAAAATATTTCAGAAAAAGCACCGTACACCAACTCTGGAGTAAATTGTGGGTACTCTCACGAATTCCACGATGCCTGGCCAGTGTGGAAGAGTAGGCCAAAACTACCCTATCTGAAGGGGCTCTCCAATGCTCCCTCCAGTGGAGGCGCTTCCACCAGCTCTGACATGAGCAAGGAATTGCAGGGCTGAGCCTTTTAACATTTACCCGATGCGTTGTGAGCATGGGATGGAGCGTGCACACAAACACATCGCCTTAACAACCTCCCCGACAACACAGTGTAAATAAATGCACAAATACCGCTCCGCATGTTTTGGCAACACAACATTATACACGAGCCAGGCCAAAGCTCGGCAACTGCGGCCATTCACGTCTTGGCATAGCCACCCTTGCGGCATCGATCACTACAGGCACCTGGTGGATGAAGCAAAATCACATCTCTGGGAACTGTTATCCGAAGGCAGGCACCTGTGCCCGTGCGTAGATAAGAAGGGAGGTGCGGTGCTACGTGGGGAGATATGCGGCGGCGATGTCTGCTTCAGATCAAACCCCGGGAGCACTGGGCTGTGAACAAATCTGGCCGCAGCAGAGGCGGCTGAAGCCAGAACCCGATATCGGAGACTGGTTCAAGGAGCGATAGGTGCCAGGCTTGTGGACAAGCACAATTTGCACTTACAGATAGGCAGGTGCCCGGGTGGCTCAGAGGTCAGAGCTCTGAGCCGTTACCGCTGAGATCCTAGTTTCGAATCCTGTGATCTAACCAGGTTCTCAAGTGTAATACATTTTGATGGTCTGAGCTTGATCCACCGAAGACTGCACAAACAAAACATCTACAATAAAATGTGGTTTTGGGCTTAACTTGGCCATAAATTCCAGCTCTGAGAATTAAAAATGTCAATCTTTACTGTTGTGTGACGAACAATCTCATGGCAGAGCGTGTAGGAAAGTGCGACCCTAGCTTGTAAAGGACACAAATGGCACTCGTAAGGTTTATTTGAGAGAAGTCCATAACATTTTAGTCTAAAAATGATTATGCTCCTTTCCAGCTCTCAAGAATGAAATATCAGTTTTGTCGGGCGTGACGAACGTTACACTCACATGGTAGAGCGGGTGGGGAAAATACGGACCTCTCCCGTATCTACCAGAGGTCACTTGAAGGCATCTCAGAGGTAGCTCTGTGGTATCCGCTTCCTGGGCCCTTCTCCATAACACGAAGGGTCCGAATGGCTTCGTCATCTCGCGACGCCGATTGCGCAATCGGGAAACAACTCGCAAAAAGTGACAAAACATTTCCCCCCCCTTCCCCCACCAGCAAAAAAAAATGTTAATTACAGCAGCGGCATTGTTACGGGAAATTACAATTACATTGAGACTACAATTCATTACGAACGACGCAATCACAATGGTACATGACCCCAGGTCCAGCGAGGTGCTGTGAGTGCGCGAGCCGGTCTCTTTGTGCTCGGCTCGGCTTTGTCTGCGTCGCGACCGAGAGGAGAAGGTGGCGGACTCTCGTGATCGGTGAATAGGGCGGGGGCGCAGGGGACATGCGGGCATGCGGAAGGCGGAAGGTGGAGGGAGCCCGCTGGTGAACATGTCGACGTACGGGTGGACGGAATGCACAGACGGATGTACGGACGGATGGATGGACAGGCAGATGGACAAACGCGGACGGAGAAGGACCAGATGCACAGACGCGACAGACTGGCAGGCAGAGTGACAGAGTGACAGGGTGAAGAACATGACACAGACACAGGATAGGCAGATACAGATGGACAAATGGATATACATGCCAATTTATTGACGGACAGAGAGAAGACAAATGGACAGGCAGAATAATTGACTAACAAATGGATGTGTAGACAGGACAGCTCGAGACGGGACAGATGTAAACAGACAGACCAATTGGCCGCGGAACAGTACAGACGTAGGCAGCGTAGACAGGACAGGCAGGGGTAGGCAGAGAGAAGGAGGAGAGGGAGAGAAAGAGGGAGATGAGACAGATGAACTAAAGGCATGGGCTTGTAAGAGGTGGGGAGAGGAGAGGATCTGACAATGGGGAGAGACTGCGAGTGAGCGAGCGAGCCCGGGATACTTGGAGCGGTGCTCGCGGTTGCCTGGAGAGTCGAGGGCACAGCCACCGTCTCGAGGGGGAGCGCATTGTCCAAGCGACCGAGCAAAGGACGGAACTTGACGTGACACAAGCGGCGCTTTCTCACGCTCCCGCCCCTCGCTCCGCCCCTCGCTCCCCACCTCCCCGAAGCCGCATTGAAGGGCTCTGAAGTAAACTTTTTTTTTTGCACTGGAAGTACGGCGGAGCACAAAGCTGGTGCGAATACAAACAAAACGACAACTGTGAAATGCAACCACAGTAGCTTGCGGGAAACTTGATTACCGCGGTCGTTGCCGCGTCGTGAACATTTACATTTTGCAGGTGGAAAAATTCGAATGTTTCACTACTGCAGCGTGAAAAAATTACGTAGAATTACAGCGGACGGACCGTGCAAAATGATATCGCGCGACGAAAGATTCTGTCGCGTCATTGTACTGTGCAAAATGACATCGCACCATCGTACCATACGAATTTCTATCGCGGCAATCGTAACGCTGTCTCCTATTTTCAATGAATACATGTGTACGTGTGCACGCAGGGGCAGGCATGAGTAGCCTGGCGCGGGGGCAACAGCCAGACCTGCCCACGAGCTGCACGGAGGGCAGCTGCCACCCGGCGACGGGAGACCTTCTCCTGGGCCGCGAGGACCGCCTCTCCGCCACGTCCACGTGCGGCATGACCGCGCCGCAGCAGTACTGCATCGTCAGCCACCTCATGGTCGGGGCCCGCATCGCACAACCGCGCTCGCATCACTGCACCCGCGCCATCGCACTCGCACAACGATCCCGCGCGCCTCAGCTACCCTCAAGCAATGGCAGAGCAAGTTGTGTGAAAAGCCACTTTGATATTGGATGGGGGAGGGGGGATTAAGAGGGCTATCTCATAGCACATAAAGCGGCCAGGTGGCTCAGCGGTAGAGCGAGCAGCTAACAACCAGGAAGGTCACAAAGTTCAAATCCTCGTTGAGGCTCGACTCAACCGTTCATCCTCTGAGAGATGGGGAGACGAACGCGTGTGTTAGGGAATATACGCAAGCTAGAGACACCATTGTGACCATCAAAACAAAGTAGGTGGGCCCGGGCCGGGACGCATGGCAAGGAGGGGATGTGGACGGTGTTCGAGTGAGACCGATGACGCGGTGGCAGCCAAAGGAGGCAACGCGTCGGAGAGATAATCCACGATGGAGACCGAGCGGTGAAATCATGTCGTGGCGGATCATCGCATCTCTAGACCGTGAACAATGGCAGCGGACTGCCGAGGCCTTCTTCCAGTAGCGGGTAGATCATGGACGACGATGACGATGTGTCAGAGTGTCTCCAATGCTGAGCCCGTTGATGGAACTCGGGGTGGGGGCTTGTATCTCTCCATACGACGGCCACTGCCGACTGCCCACAAAGTGAACGGCCGTTTACGACGTCGACTCTGACGACGACGCCGTTGGCGATAGTCGTATGAGAGCGCGGCCTGTAGGTTAGTCAGACGCGACCGAGCCGAGCTCCTGGAGGCGAGGTTGCGAGCACGAGGGACCTCGTCCACCCCCAGGCACCCCCGGCTGCCCCGCGTCGCTTCACTGCCGCCACGGCGAGCCGAGCTGACGCAGTAAATTGCTCCATGTTTCATTTTTTTCCCCGTCCTCCTTTCTTCCCATTGTTCCCTTTGTCGCCGTGCTCTCTTCATTATGCCAGGCAGCTCCATTGAGCCGCATGGAGCTCATTAGTAAGGGTTCCGCGTGCTCGCTTTGCTGCTCGCACGGGGGCGGGGGGGGGGGAGCGGGTGTGGGGGGATTGGCGCCTGCCTCTAGCGGAGTGGGGTTGGTGGGTCGCTCGGTGATTGGGGGAGCTGTGATGGCTTTGGTCTCCGATCGCCACCTAACGTTGAAAGTATTTTTCTGTCCGTCTGTTGGTCTCAAAAGTGGGGGTCACAGTCACTCTCGTGGGGATGAACCAATGGGAACGTTTTTGTGTTGGTGCAGTCACGGTATGGAATCGGCGTGTAGAAAGCAAGCCGCATTGATCAAAATTACTCTCAAATCTTGGAGACACAAATCAACGCGAACCGACTTGGCGCTTCCTCCTCACTTGGCACAGGTGCCACCGTTATCATCGCTAATTCAATGCTTCCGAGGACAAGCGCACGCTGGGAAGCGTTAAAGAATCCGGGCGTATGCGCGATCGTGCTCTTGGCGTCATGGTTACTTCACCGCGAGGTGGAGAATCCACGGGAAAGTCGAGCGGGGCTGCGTGACCCTTGGTGTAAGCAGATTTGCCTCTACGTGACCTCTGGTCCACACATTGGAGGGCCGCACTTTCGCACCCGCACTGCCATGCGACAGTAACTGTTCATCGCTTGACGTTCAAAGTAATATTTTAAATTCTCAGAGCTGAAGTTAAGCTAAAGCCCTTCCCCGTTCCGAGAGGTCTGCAAGTTGCAGGGTGGGGTCCAGTTCACCGCTGAATCTCGGAACGCGCAAGTGGGTTCAGGGTTATTTTTATTTAGAGAGGAATAGCGCCGTTGTTTTTAAAGACATTGAACTCACCACAGAGAACCGTAGCGACCGCACTCTATAATAGCTGGCGCCAAATTGTGCCCCGCACCTCCGATTAGCACGGTTGGCTACGTATGGTGCGAAAGAAGTTCAACATACGTACGTACGTGCCACACATGGCCTTGTGGGAGCCTCGGTACCGATAAGTAATTTTATTTTTTTATTCCTGTTTCGTTTTCATGATGTACACGTAAGTCATCGGAGCGGGAAAGGGTTAAGTGCTGAACCAAATTTAATGTGGTGGTATTTCTTTTTACTCTTTGGTTCTTTCGGTAAAGTCACGTAGAAAATAAAATAATAATAAAATACGACGTTTCGGTTGCAACACAAGCAACCATCATCAGGTAAGAATGAATGTGTGTCTGCCTATGCTATTCCCGTGTCTGTGTTTTATCATTCATTCTTACCTCATGATGATGGTTGCTTGTGTTGCAACCGAAACGTCGTATTCTATTATTATTTGCTTTTAGTTTCTACGTGACTTTACCGAAAGAACCAAGAGTAATTCATGCAGTCACGAAAGCTTCGACACGTGGGCAGTCACCGGTGACCAGGGTTGAGACCATCGACTCACTGCACTTGAGAACCCGGTTTAATCACGGGCGGCTGAAGCCCAGATTTGAACCCCGACTCAGTGCTCTGACCCCTGAGGAATCCGGCGAACTGGGCAGGATTCTTTAGCTGGAGTAGAGCATCGGCCATCATCCCCACGCACGTCACAACACGGTCACATTTCTCTGGCCCAGCACGGCCCACGCAACCCATACATACAAACATATATACACTTACAACCCCTATGTTGATCCACTGCTGCGTGAGGACCTCCCCATGCCATGTGGTCCGCAGGGGGCTCCTTGACCATGCTTCACCATGCCGGTCAGTGCGGGTAGGGGACGGCGGGGAGCATTGACAATGGAATGGATTTTACCACTCTGCCCTCTGCTGATAACGTAGCCTCTCAGCAGCCTATAACACCCGTTACGCGCCGCAATCACCTATCCAAGTACTTTTTAGGCTCAAGCCTGCTTAACCCCTACATACTTCTGTACAAACGTCCCAAATGATGACTCCCGAGCGCCCAGCGCAGGCATGAAACCCAGGCCCTGTCCCCTCTCGGACTGCCCTGCCCCGGGACTCAACCTCAGGGAGCACAAGGAGGTAGCTTTTGGGGTGGGGGGAGGGGGGTCACCGGCTTGCGATCGGGGTTTTGGCTCCCAGTGACCGGCACACATGCCGAGATGACAGCGTTAATATTTAAACACATTCTTGGAATAATTTTCTGGGCTTTTTTTTCGTGGCAATATATTCTGTCTTAGCGCGTTAATCTTTGACCCAGAGTGTCTTTAGAACATCTAAGTATGTTCTGTGTAAACAGCGTGTTCACCTTGAAGCCGGATTTCTTAACGCTTCTGTATTTTGAGGGGTTTTTTTTTAAAGCTAGCACGAAGCCAAAGACGCATCGCTGAAGCAGCGGCGGGACGGTTCCTGCTAAAACAAACACTCGTTCGAGTGAAAACGCGCAAGCAAACTCGTGCCTGCATTCCTACCAGAATCGTGAGACAAAGATTACCGTTAGCGAGCACCTGCTACTGTCAGCGAGCACCTATTTGACGGATGGGATGGCCGGGCGTGGTGCTGGCCGCACCGTGGGTGCTGGGAGGGAGGAAGGACGGGAGGAGGAGGAGACTTTGGCGGTTGTCCCCATGCCACCCGAGCTTCCCATATTTCAGTTCTTTTGAAGCGATGCGAAGTTAGGGAAAAAGTCGTGCGCACACGCCTGGACTATGTAACTCTTTCCACCGCGAGTTTGTTCAGCGTTTTAATCAGCGGTACAGGAGCTGACGGAGAGATGTTGGGGCGAAACATATTTGTCATATTTGCCATAATTCCTTTTTTGCTCTGGTTTGAGTCTCCAAGTTTTAGGACACCCTTTGATCAGTGTGTCCAGTTTTATCTCGGGTAAGTCCCTATTAGCAACACAACATGGGGTTATATCGGGCCCTAACCCCACCCCAGGCCCTTACGGACAGAGTTAATGCAACCAGTCTTTTTAAACCAATTTTAAAATCGTTAAACATCACAGTGGATAAGTCAAGATAAGCACAACACCCAAGGGCCACACAGTGCCACAGGTGCCCTGGGCATACGTAGCAAACGTAGCCACGTAGCCTCGTAGCCACACGGGTGGAGAAGCAGGCAGGTACGCGTGACCCAAGGTGTGGGAAACCCTTGGATGGACGCGGACGGTTTTCATTCCGCCAAATTACCGATGGATGAAAACGCAACTTTATACCGCAAACGTTCGATAATTATTCTGCACCCCCCCACCCCCCTCGCCTACCCCACCGTCCCCTCCCCCCACCTCGTCATGGACGAACGTCGCAGTGCTATAGTGCACGAACGCGTTCGACGTTCATTTGGAAAGGCGTGTGAAAAAAAAGAACCCGACACATAATAGCGCGTGCGTCAAGATGAGACCGATACCCTGAGCACGGCGAGGGCGCGCTGGGTGCACATAGCAGTGGCAAGGGAGTCGCTCCGCCTGTCCTGGCCCGACAGGTATCGGGAGGAGGAGGAATGCACGGGTGGGGGAGGGGAGAGGAGCGTCTGGTGAGCTCCAGTTCACCCATGGCTCCCTCGTGTGTGTGTGTGCGTGCACACCTCCGCACGCCGCGCGCACTTTCACTGCAGGAATTTGCCCGCGGCCGCATCGCTCGTTCCACTCTGCACACCCGCCGATCAATCCGTCGGCTTGCGTGCGTGTCTGTGCGTGCGCGCGTACGTGCGTGCTCTCCGTGTGTGCGTGCGCATCTGTGGGGAGCGGTAGTGTCGCGGTTAGTGCGCCGCGCTACTAATTTTGCGGACCGAGTTCGAATCCCGCTCACGGCCACGAACACCAGTAATGATTATCTCAACCAGTCGTGGGCCTCCCCGAGGTCGACTCAGCCTTAAATGAGTACCGGGTGCAGTGGGTAAACATCAGTATTGCGGAGACAAATAGGTGATGCTCTCACGACCATTATTTGGATTCATAATTAGTTTATTTTAGGTTAGATCTTAGTGTAGGTATCACGCCAATTGAAACTCTAATCTTCCACCACCCGATAGAGCTATTCAAATCAAGTTGTCACGTGGGCAAATGTGCCAATCGTTTCTGTTTATTAGCCGATGGGTTGCGTCAGCTATCATCGGTTGCCTCCTCGCCGGGTCTCTCTCTGCTTCTCTGTCCGTCGCTGCGGCCCAGTGTTTGACACGTGGCGTCGAGTCCAATCGCGGTCTCCCTCCCCCCCCCGAGCACCTTCCACTGCTGCTTCCATCACACTGACCTCCCGGCCCACGTGTCCGTAATGTCGGCGGTTTGCCGTGCTTGATCCGACTCGGTGGCCCTGATTCTTACCCACGGTAGCTGACACCGAGCGCCCACGGTCGACGTGCCTAGCGAAGCCACCCCTTAATTTGCAAGATGCTTTGCGTTCAGAGTCTTGAGCCGATTGGCTGAGCGGTGGCGATACACGACTGCGTCCAGTACGGCGAGAGCAAAAGCAGACGGGCAGCTCACAATTGAAATGCACCCGTGGAAAGCAACATCTCAGCGTGCAAGAAATACACAGCGGGAAACGGGCGGGCATGGGAGGGAGGCGAGCGAGCAAGGGAAGGGATGAATAGAAGCAATTAAGGGGGTTTGAAGGCTCGAAGTTTGAGAGGAAGGTTTTGAAGAGGGGGGCGGTGGGGGCGGGGGCACGCAGGTGGATTTCCAGAGGGTGGGGCCATAGTGGATTAAAGCGTGGCCACCCACCGGTGGGGCAGTGGCTCTTTGGAGCAAGAAGGGGGCCAGGGTCCGTGGAGCCGAGGGAGTGCGGGGAGAGGGCTGGGACATCAGGCGTGGAGAAGATTGCGGAGGGTGGGAGGAGAGGCAGGACCGACGATGTGGTGTGAACGCAAGGACGAGGATCCTGCAGCTCACGCACCCCTTCCCGGGGCTGAATCCATGCCCGCCCCCCTGCGTAGCCATCCTTTGGAAGGCGGCTTGAACCCTGCTCCCTGCTCCCCCTGTCGCGACTCGCACCCCACCCACCACGTGGCCCTTGGACCCGCAGATGTTGGAGACGGCGATCGCTCCGCGGGAGGGGCCGGGTTTGAGTTGTGCCGAGGACCCCAGGGGTGCGGCCGCGCGTGTTTGTGATATGTCGTGAGGGAGCGGTGGCGCAGTGATTAGCGCAGCCTGCCACGAGCCCACTCATCCGAGCTCGATTAACGCTCACGGTCAACGTCGGCGACGATTATCTGAACCGTTCCTGGGCACCCCCCTCGGTCGATTGGGCCTCAGATGAGTACCTGGTGCCGTGCGTAAACATCTCCACTGGGCAAACAAAGGTGGCCGGGCGTGGTGCTGGCCACCCACCCCCTCGCTTGCTGTGTCACACATCATAGGTTCTTGCGAACAGAACTTGCCCCCAAGTCTCTTAAGGCGGTAGTGTAACAGTTTACACACAATGCTGTGACCTCGGTGAGCCGTGTTCGATTCCCAGCCATGGATACCACCAGTGGCGAGTGGCATCTGAACCTGCTCTGGGTCTCCCTTGGGTCAACTCGGCCTCGAAATGAGTGCCCAACGCGGCGTGTGAAACATCGCCTCCGGAGAGACAAAAGATGCTACCATGATAACGCCACTACTTGCTCCATCATGGTGGCTTTTATAGGTGCTCACTAAGGGCACTTGCCTCCGCTGTCTGCGTGACTAAGCGGGGATGTTGCGTGGGTGTGCGCGTGGTGTCGTCTGTGGGAGTGATGCAATCCTCGTTCAGTTATTAGCTGTGCACAACACGAGTGCCGCTGTCGCCGGTGCTTGGTCATGGCCTTACGGGTGTGTGTGTGAGAGTGTGTGAGAGTGTGTGTGAGAGTGTGTGTGAGAGGGTGTGTGAGAGTGTGTGTGAGTGTGTGAGAGAGTGTGTGAGAGTGTGTGAGAGAGTGTGTGAGAGTGTGTGTGAGAGTGTGTGAGAGAGTGTGTGAGAGTGTGTGAGAGTGTGTGTGAGAGTGTGTGAGGGTGTGTGAGAGTGTGTGAGAGTGTGTGTGAGAGAGTGTGAGAGAGTGTGTGAGAGTGTGTGAGTGTGTGTGTGAGAGTGTGTGAGAGTGTGTGTGAGGGTGTGTGAGAGGGTGTGTGAGAGTGTGTGTGAGTGTGTGAGAGAGTGTGTGAGAGAGTGTGTGAGAGTGTGTGAGAGTGTGTGTGAGAGTGTGTGAGAGTGTGTGAGAGTGTGTGTGAGAGTGTGTGAGAGTGTGTGAGAGTGTGTGAGTGTGTGTGTGAGAGTGTGTGAGAGTGTGTGTGAGAGTGTGTGAGAGTGTGTGTGAGAGTGTGTGAGAGAGTGTGAGAGAGTGTGTGAGAGTGTGTGAGAGTGTGTGTGAGTGTGTGTGAGAGTGTGTGTGAGAGTGTGTGAGAGTGTGTGTGTGAGAGTGTGTGAGAGTGTGTGAGAGAGTGTGAGAGAGTGTGTGAGAGTGTGTGAGAGTGTGTGTGAGAGTGTGTGAGTGTGTGTGAGAGTGTGTGAGAGTGTGTGTGTGAGAGTGTGTGTGAGTGTGTGTGAGAGTGTGTGTGAGAGTGTGTGTGAGAGTGTGTGTGAGAGTGTGTGTGAGAGAGTGCGTGTGTGAGTGGGGAGCGGTAGTGTAGCGGTTAGCGCGCTGCGTTATGAACCGGTCCTGGGCCTCCCCTAGATCGACTCAGCCTCAAATGAGTACCTGGTGCGATGTGTAAACATCACCACGAGGGAGACAAAGACGGCCGGGCGTGGTGTTGGCCACCCACCCCCTCGTGTGCCGTGCCGGCCTTCATAGGTGCTCGCTAACAGCACTTGCCCCTACGGTCAGTTAAGGCTACACGGGGGATCTTTGTCTTTGTGAGTGGGGAGCAGTAGCAGAGCGGTTAGTGCGCTGCACTATGAACTCAACTTCTCGGGTTCGACTCCCAATCACTGCTAGCAACACCAGTGACTATTTTCTGAACCGGTTCTGGGCCTCAACTAGAGTAGACTCAGCCTTAAAACGAATGCCTGATGCAATGTGTAAAACATCAGCACTGGGGAAACAAAGGTGGCCGGGAGTGGTGCTGGCCATCCACCCCTCGGTACGACGTGCTGGACTTCCTAGCACTTGTCCCAAGAGTCTGTTAAAAGCTATACAGGGGATCTTTGGTGTTTGTGTGTGAGGGTATTTGCGTGTTTGTCTGATGTGGTGCCGTGGTCGGCATCAACGCTGTGCACCCAAGGCAGCTTGGGGGTGTTTGTGGATGGCCGCAACATCGCCCCGCGTGCCATGCGCTGTCTTAATACGCAGTTGCTCGCTAACTGCGCTTGTTCTTACAGTCTGCACAAATAGGTGGCGGGCGGGTGGGCGGGGTGGTCTTGGTCTGTGTTGTCCGCATGCAGTAGCCGTGCGTCTGGGTGTCGCCTTTGTGCGCGTGTCTCGGGTGTTGGCGCGTCGGTGTGGGGTGGGTGCCTGTGGGTCATTTGAGCAGCGTGTCTTCGTGTGTCCGGCCGTGCGGGGAGGAGCGGTGGCGTAGTGGTTGACGCGCTGCGCTTCGAGCCCGCCGACCCGAGTTCGACTTCCGCTCACGACCTAAGTCGGTGACGGATATCTGAAGCGGTTCTGGGCCTCCCCTAGGTTGACTCGGCCTCAAATGAGTACCTGGTGCGGTGTTGAAAGATAGCCACGGAGGAGACAATGGCAGCGGGCAGAGCCTTGCCACACCACCCCCTCTGCACCGTGCCTACGAACAACACTTGCCCCAAAAGTCTGTATGTCTATATGGGGAATCTTTGTCTTTGTGTGTGGTATGATGGAGCAGAAGTGCTGTTGTCCACACACTGCCCGATGAACCTCGTGGCCTGGGTTCAATTCCGAGCCAAGTGGCATTCACAACTGTTCACAGCCTCTCCTAGGTCGACTCAGACGAGTACCTGACGTGGCGGTTGTGTGAAACGTGAGCACTGGGGAGACAAAGGTGGTCAGGTGTGGGGTGGACACATCACCACTTCGTTGGCCAGAAAGAGGAACAAACGGATGAGAGAATGTGAACAAGTTAGAGACATCTTGTGGGCGTAATAAAAGTCAGTGGGCTTGGGCAGGATGTGTCGCTATAAGGGGTCAATTCTTCTTTCGTATGGCTGATAATGTAGATGCAGAGCAATAACTAGAATTTCATATTCAGGTGGTCAAGCCAGATAACCGCGTCAGGAGCAGCAGAGTGTACTGCCGTGATGTCCACCTTCATATTTATAGATCGGGCATTACGTCGTTACACGTACGATCTGTTCTGGATGACCGCAGTCGCACACTCCTGGAGAGTTTAAAATTTTCAATTTGTGAAACGGGTGTCCGCATCTGCCATGGTTTGTGCAGATGTGGTTTAGGGTGGACCATGAGCTCCGGGGAAGATCAAACCCAGGGATCTTCTCCGTTGGGTCTTTCACAACTCGGTGTTTGTTTGTGAGTTCTTTTGAACTCCACTCAGCTGTCCAGGCTTCATCGGTTTTGAATTCACATTGTTAAGGTTGAGCGTAACGGTCCGGAAGGGGCTTGCGTGACTTCGAGCGATGACGAGGGATGCTCCGAGGGACGATGGCCGGTAGTCGAGACTAACGACGGAGTGGCAGCCAAAGGAGGGAAAGACACGGCCGGGAGTCTGACCACCGTGGAGATGGAACAACGAAATCGGTCGGCGTGTAGGTGTGCTGGGTAGTGGATCGCCGCGTCAGATTGGCCGTGAGGGTGGGCACCGTCGCGGGGAGAGACTTCGTCCAGCAGTTGCATAACGCTCCGGCTGATGGCGGCGATGTTGGTGAAGCGGTCACCACTGCGGGTGTTTGAGGCTGATCGGCGGGGCGGGGGTGATTCTCCGTCTGTGTGTGCAGGAGGACGACAAGTGCTTCGTGTGCGACTCGCGGCAGCGCCAGGGCCCCAACAGCCACCGCGTCCAAAACGTCGTCATGAACTTCGACCCCGCGCGCAAGAGCGCGTGGTGGCAGTCGGAGAACGGTACCCGCGTGTGTGTGTGCTCGCGTGTGTGTGTGTGCTTGTCAATTATGGGGAGCGGTAGTGTAGCGGTTAGCGCACTACGCTGTGAACCCGGAGACCCGGGTTCGTTTCCCGCTCACGGCCAACACCAGTGACGATTATTTGAACTGGTCCTGGGCCTCCCCTAGGTCGACTAAGCCTCAAATGAGTACCTGGTGCGGTGTGTAAACATCGCCACTGGGGGGACAAAGGCGGTCGGGCGTGGTGCTGGCCACCCACCCCCTCGTGTACCATTCCGGCCTTCATAGGTGCTCGCTAACAGCACTTGCCCCAACAGTCTGTTAAGGCTACACGGGGGATCTTTGTCTTTTTACTTATCTACGTGCACGCGATCGTGTATTCTCTGCCCTTTTGAGAGACGTGTCCTTTGCGTGTACACATGTCCCGTGCGTGTATGTGCATGTGTTCTGGGGATCCGGTGTAATTGCTCGCGCACCGTGCTCATGATCAGTAGCATTGACACGCATATCTGAAGCAGTTGACTCGGCCTTCAATGAGTGCCTGATGAGGTGTGTGAACATCGACATTCGGGAGACAAAGGCGGCCGGGTGTTGTGTAGGTCGCCCTCAACCCTCGTGTGCCGTGCCAGCTTCATCGGTGCTACTCGCTAACGGCACTTGCCCAAACGGTCTGCTGAAAGGCTATATGGGGGGGTCTTTGTGCATGTGTGTGCACGTTCAAGTTTCAAATTCATTTTGTTTAACCAGGTGAGATCTCAAGAGATTTGCTTGTGTATTCTCTGGCATTGGTCTGCTTGATGGTTGTACAATTTTATAGTTTAGCAAATTTGGAACCTGACACCTACACACAATGGGCAACTCTTGCGAATGAACTTCAGAGGATCTTTAACATCCATTGTGAGCGAAGGGGATGGCGCGTAATATTATTACGATTGTTACATAACCGCGGTAATAATCGGGGCGGCCGCTTGGATTCAAACCACGAACGTCCTCACCAAGCGGCGATCTCGCTACCGCTGGGCCACGTCAGCGCCCGCACTGCACGAGTGCGTTTGACTCAGCAGTCTGTTAGAGGCTACACGGGGGGATCTTTGTCTTCGTGTAGGCGTGCTTTGTGTGCAGGTATGGAGTGTGAGTGTGACTGCCCTGCGTGCGTGTGTGTGTGTGTACGCACGCGCGCGCATGTCCACGCACGCCCTCATCCCACTCCCTGTTTTCATTTGACTTTTCGGAAATATTTTCTAAGAAGAAGATTTGATAACATTCCTGTCCATTAAAGCGCCTTCACGTATGATGCCCTGCCAGGTTTTTTTTTTTGTTGCCAAATAAAACAAAAACCCGCCACAGCGAGCGCCTTTGTTGACAAACGCACGCGCACCCATTTGCGTGCAAGCGGACGCACGGTACGCCCGCGATGCGCCCGCGTGCGCTGCGGGCGCATCGCGGGCGCGTGCCGGCGACGCGAGCGAAAACGTCGGCTCAGTAACCGTGATGAGGTCCCCCCCCCCCCGGCCGCCCCCCCCCCCCCGGCCGCCCCCTTTGCCATGCCGACGTCCGTTTGTCTCTGGGACCCCCGCAGGCCTGGAGAGGGTGAGCTTGCGGTTGGACCTCGAGGCGGAATTCCACTTCACGCACCTCATTTTCACGTTCAAGGTGAGGGCGAGCGCGCGCGTGCATGCGCGCGCATATGTACGTATGCGTGTGTGCGGGGAGCGGTCGTGTAGAGGTTAGCGCACTGCGCTACGAACCAGGCGACCCGAGTTCAATTCCTGGTCACGGCCATCGTCAGTGACGATTATTTGAAGCGGTCCTGGGCCACCCCTAGATCAACTCGGCATCTAATGAGTGCCTGGTGCGGTGTGTAAACATTGCCACTTGGGAGGCAAAGACGGTCGGGCGTGGTGCTGGCCAGACCCCTCGTGTGCCGTGCCGGCCTTCACAGGTGCTGCTCGCTAACAGCGCTTGCCCCGACAGTCTGTTACAGGCCACACTGGGGATCACCAAACTCTGGATTTTCTTTGCTGCTGTTGGTGGCAAGGTCAAGAGGTCATTAACTTCCACACCCCTCGCCCCCAGTAATTTGACGGATTCTGTCACAATGCATAGGCCGCAATCTTATATGTCATAAAAAAAAATGCATTACATTTTTGCGTTCAACATTGAGGTGAATATAGCAGCCAGCCATGGCTGCATAGGTCAAGCGTGCTCATTATATACAACATGTATGAAGCACCAAGCAATTGCATAATTGTTGTTGCTAGGCAATAGGCATGTGACTATTCACTGCCCCGTGTGATGCAATGAAGTGTCAAGATTTCCATTCACAATTACATTAAATGTTTTTTTAAATCGTTCCAAGAGGGAGTAACTCTGCACAGATAGATTTGAGAATGCATTGCTGGGCTGCCATCACCTGGCCACCTCACAGGCTAAGCCTACGAGACCTTATCAAGCCTACATCTTATCCAAATACTCAGCGGGCTTAACTCCTGCTTGGTTTTCGAGACTCGCGCAGACTGGGTGCATTGGGGGCGAATATTCTTCTTCCTTGAACAATAAAAACTTGACGCGTTTAGAGGGGGGCGCAAGCCTTGCGACGAGGCTCCCGGCAGGCAGCGACCTTTCTGGTCCCGGCCAAGGGCTCGCGTTCGCAACGCGTAGCCGTCGCGCGATCAGCCAGGGCGGCGTACCGACTCGCTCTGCGGTTTGACCTCCGGCCCCGACCTTTAAACCCGGCTCACGGCCGCTTCAGGCGCAGCCGCCACCATTGGCGCGCCCCGTCCTGATCCATCGCTTTTGCGAGCGGACGCGGCACCCCCCTCCCCCGCCCGCCGCCGCCGTCTCTCGATTTGGCGAAACCTGCAAATCCGCGCGCCCCTTCGGTGAGGCAGGCGCGTGCCCTATCAGGGCCGGCAGCCGCGGTGGCTGCCGTTTGCGTTTGAACAGCCCCGCTTACGTTTGTTTAACCTGCGGGTGGCGAAGAGGCGTCGGCAAAGTGTTTGCCGAAAAATCCTCGTTAATTTTCGAGTCCGCGTTTTTTTTTTCCTCTTCTTCTTCTCTCGCTGCAGCAAAGGCGGCGGCACGGTCGACGGTTGCGCCTACGACGGAACCTAAATACTCGGTAGCGCTCTCGCACACGGGGTAGACTCGGTGCTGAGTCGGTAGCCAGTAGGCGCACGGGTTTAACGTGGTTGCAGTCCAGTCGGACTCCTCTTATCCGTGAAGAAGAAGAAGTGTGTGGGGGGGGGGGGTGGGGGGGGCGCGAACTTCGCAGGTCTTGTCTCCTGTAATGTACCTGGTAGCCACCGGGGGAGCGTTTGTGAGTCAAGACAGCCACGGCGTCCGCAGTGTGGCTGCACCCCTGCACTCCCCGCACGTCTCCGCTCCAGCAGCCAAGGCCGTCCGTCGATGCAACCAGTCGGCATTTGCTCGCCAGGAGGTCGCTCATTCTCTTCTACCGTCCCCAAACTTCGGAACGCCGTTTCCTCCCCCGTGCAAAGCGCGGCCGCTCCCCCGATCCCGCGATGGGGGTCGTTGGCAGGGGTTGGGGAGCGGGAGGGGTGGGGTTCGCGTGGGGGGGAGGGAAAGGAGAGGTGCTCAGTGCACCTGCCGTCGTGTGAACCCTACAGCCGACCTTGTGACCCTTGCACCCCCCACCCTCTGCTATCCCTCCCCCGCCCGACCCCCCCACCACCGCCCCTCCACCGCCCAGACATTCCGCCCAGCGGCCATGCTGGTGGAGCGTTCGTCCAACTTCGGGCGGACGTGGCGGCCGTACCGCTACTTCGCGCAGGACTGCCGCTCCGCCTTCCCCGGCGTGCGGGAGGGGCCCGTGCAGCGTCCCGGCGACGTCGTGTGCGACTCTCGCTACTCCGACATCGAGCCCAGCACGGGCGGGGAGGTGCGCCGCTCGTCGATCGTCCCGGAGGCTCGGCCCGCATCGCCGATGCTGACGAAACCCAAAACGCTCGAAACTGCATAATCCGATGCGTCTGGGTGTGCGTGCGCCCGTGTGCATCCCCTTTTTGCGCGAGTGGTTGGCGCACAGGGCTAAGAACCCTGTTCGAATCTCGGCCACGGCTGACGGCGGTGGCGAGTGACGTCTGCGCTGGTTGGTCCAGTCCTGAATGAGTACCCGGTGCGGTGTGTAAACCTCAGCACTGGGGAGACAAAGGCGGTCGGGCGTGGTGCTGACCAACACGACCCTCGTGTGTGCCTTGCCAGCCTTCGTAGGTGCTACTCCCTAACAGCACTTGCCCGAGAAGTCTGCGTGAGCAATAGTCGGATCTTTGTATCTCCCATTCCTTATCCCCCTCTGCAGGTCATCTTCAAGGTGCTTGATCCGTCCATCCCTGTTCCTGACCCCTACAGCCCTGAGATCCAAGGTGACCCCTCACGGCCACCTGGGCAGCGCCACGCAGATGATGATTACATTTGTTCACGGATGAGTAATGAGCTGTCATTGTTTGTTTAGCTGCTCTCGCTGTGTTTTCTCATTCACCATTGTCTCGTAACGCTTTGTCCATTTCACTCCGTTGTCCGTGACTCCCCCGTCCCCCCTCGCACTGCCCACGTCCCCTCGTGTGCCCCACGTTCATCTCCTCGTGTCCCAAATTTTCGATTCCTCCCCGTGCGTCACCACGTCTCCCTTTGTATCCTCATCCCCCCCTCCCCCTCTGCATCCGCTCCTCATCCCCTCCTCGTGTTTGTCTGTGAAAAAAGCCTTGCAGCTCATCGGATTTCACCATGACAAATAAAGACTCTGATTCTGACCTTTCATATCCTCACGTGCCACCAGTTACCTCCCCTGACTCCGCCCGAATGTCCTCCCGCGTCCCCTCGCGTCCCCTCGTGCCTTCCGCGCCGCATGTCCCAATGTCCCCCCCCCCCCCCCCCCACGGCGTCCTCTGCGCGTCCCTCTCGTAGCCCGGCGCCCTTCTCGGATCCTACCCACGTCCGCCCACGTACCCTCACGTCCCTCCGCATCCCCCCCCCCCCCCTCCGCTGTGATCCCGCTGTCTCGCCCGCGCGACCCGGACGGCAGACCTGCTGCGCGTGACGAACCTGCGCGTGAACTTCACGGCACTGCACACCCTCGGGGACGAGCGCCTGGACTTCAGCCCCGACGCGCGCCGCAAGTACTACTACAGCGTGTACGACATGGTGGTGCGGGGCAGCTGCTCCTGCAACGGCCACGCCGAGTCGTGCGTCCCCACCGGGAGGGGAGACGCCGGCGCTTCCACCGAGGGCATGGTGGGCGACGCGGCCGGGGCGGCGGCTTAACGGCCGGGCGGGAAAGCGCGTTTTTATTTTTGTTGCCGCACGTCGCAGAGGCTCGCGGTTCGGTGAAACGGCGGCTGACCCTGGGGCGGAGCTTTCGTCATTGTCGTGGTCATCGTCGTCGAGGTCATCATCGTTGTTGTTATCATCATCGTCATCATCGTCGTGGTGATCATCATCATCGTCGTCATCATTGTTGTTATCGTTGTCGTCATCGTCATGGTGATCGTCATCATCGTCGTCGTGGTCAGTCGTGGTTAATTCATTGCCGGGATGAAGGCCTCAGCAGGCCTCAGCAGGCCTCCGTCGCCACCGATCATGATTCTGCAATGTGACAAATCCACCTGCTTGTCCCTGAACATGGAACTGATTACCTTATCGCGCCATCTCCTCAGGGGACATGTCCTTAGCAAATATGTTCACCGTGGGCGCCATCGTGGTGAGATGTTAACTACCTCGCCAGGTATACAGGTCGTGGGTTCAATCCCAACCCTGACGCTTGTATATTTGGAGTTTGCGTGTTCTCGCCGTAGACGTGTCGATTTTTCTCCGAGTCCTCCGATTTTTCCCTCCACATTTAGAATCGACATCACGCGTTTAGAGTAATTCGCTGCTGTACATTTCTACACAATGAGCCATTTCGTTGAGCTAGCATTTGTGGCGAGGTTGCTTCTCAACAAGAGCTATACAGCTCAGTGGACCTTACCTGGTAAAATAGTTTTATGTCAATCGATTTGGTTATTCCGCAAAAAACGGAACATTGAACAGCTGACAATTAGGCAAAAATGTTGCCGGCATGACAACTTGATTTGATTGGCTCTTATCAGGTGATGGAGGGTTACGTGACATTATACCTGGTCGTGAAAGTAGACGTATAAAACTAACGGTTTCTGTACCGCTAAACAATTAGTGCCGAATGCAAACGCGAGTGGGAAGGTATCACATAATCCATGTGTATGCATGATTTTTCTTACCTTGTCCGTTTCAGCATTCTGGCTAGTGTTAGCGCCCTTTAGTGTTCGCAAGAGGGCACGTGACAGAATTACGGGGCCAATGATTGCAACGCTCTTATGCCACGATTGATGATGAACAACGATGAGAAGTGATGACGATGACGACGACGACGATGACGACGATGATGATTTTATTTCAGTTAGCGCGTACCGTTGACATGGATCCAGCTGCCGCGAAGCTTTGGTTAGCGGACTCGGTCTTCGACGATTCGCGGCGCCATCGTCCGCCTCGCACCACGGTTCGGGCTGTCGTGTGAGCCCCACCTGCTGCTCGCAGGCCTTGGCCACTTCGGAATGATGATGATGATGCTAATAATTAATGACGATAATAAGCGACGACGATAAGTTATCATGATGATGATGCTTGTGCGGCAGGTGCACGGGCGCTGTCTGTGCAAGCACAACACGGTGGGACTCAACTGCGACGAGTGCGACGACTTCTACCAGGACCATCCCTGGAGGCCGGCGCAGGGGCGACGCACGCACGCTTGTAAACGTACGTGCGCACGCACGCACGGGAGGCGCACGCACGTGTGTAAACGCACGCACGCACGCGTGGCAAACGTGGACACACGCGCAGAGGCGGTGGACACAGTGTGTAAATGTATGCACGCAAACGTACGCACGCACGCACGCGCTCACGCGCCAAGGCAAAGATGCCCAGTGTAGCCTGCCCGCATAGACCGGCGAGGGGGAAAGTGATGTCAATGAGCCCCTCCTACTGCCTGCACGGCACGTGAAGGGGGTGGGTGTGAGGGTGTGGCGAGCACCGCTCCAGGGCCGCCTTTGTCTCCCCAATGCTCGTGTTTGTACACCGCACCAAGTACTCGTTTAAGGCTGAGTACACCTAGGGGAGGTGCACGACCGATACAGATATACGCCAGTGATGTTGGCCTTGGTTAAGAATTGGACTCGTGTCGCCAAGTTTGTACCACCATTCACCAAACACCACCACACTACAGCGCCCATACGCAACAGCAACAACAACAGCAACAACAACAGCAGATGCCATTTTCCACTAAGTGGCGGCGACATCGCCAAAGCGCTCGTACCAGGCTAGGTGAACGTTGAGGCCACGTGTAGTGTGGAAGACTCGCTGCTGGCAGGAGGTCACAGGACAGACCCCGGGTTGTTTTGGTAACGGCAGGTGCTCCCCGCTGTGCTCAGTCGGCGCATTTGGCACGCACACACAAAGACAAACACGCACACACGCGTACATACGCGCACACACTCATGCACACGTTTCCATTCAAAAAGCAGCATTGTACAAACACACATTAGCGTAGCGGTGACACTGTCGTTAATAACGCTTAGTGGTGGTGGTGCTGCTGCTGGTGGCCATGGAGCTCTCGTGGAACCAGTGATGGCGGGGTTGCTGGGTGCAAGTGTTGACATCAACCCTTCTCTCACGATGTCGTTGCCTGCGATGATGAGGTTGCTGGCAATATGACGAGATTTATGAGGTTGCTGGCGATATGACGAGGTTGCCCCTCGACGGATGAGGTCGCTGGCTTGTGACGAGGTTCAGAGTAGTGGCGAGGTTATTGATCAGGCTGCTGCCAATATTACGATTTTTATCGGTACGTGACGAGGTTATTGATGAGTTTGCTGGCGATGCAACGAAGTTGCCCCCTGGTTGTGACGAGGTTATCTCCGGGTCGTGACGATGTCGCCCTGTGCCCAGGCTGCGAGTGTAACGGCCACGCCATGCGCTGCCACTTCGACCTCGCCGCCTACGTCGCCAGCGGCAACGTGAGCGGCGGGGTGTGCGACGGTTGCCGCGACAACACGGCGGGACGGCAGTGCGAGACGTGCTCGCCCTTCCACTACCGCCACGCGCGGAGGGACGCACGCGCCCCCGACTCCTGCGTCCGTACGTCGCGCGTCCTCGCGTTTGCACGCAGACGCACGCATACGCACGCATACATACGTGCAAATGCACGTACACGCACATGCGCTCATGCAGACGTACACAGACAAATAATCGCTGATGCGCGTGGCCTCATTGACGATTGCGACCATTGTAACATCGGCGCGGTCACAGCAAGGGGGGACGTATCCTCAGGGTTCATGCTGTGATCGGCCCTTGCCATCAATTTAATGTGGAGCTCCATGTCGAGTTCAACACTGAAACTCTGAACATTGTCAATGACTCCTGCTACTGCCCCCGCCGCCCCCGCCGCCCACTCTTCCATGTCACCGTCTCTCTCACCTCTCCCCCCCATCTCTCTCCCATCTCACCTCTCCCCCTGCCTGTCTTCTGATTCTCTCCCCTCTCTTCCATCTCACCATCTCTTACTCTCTCCTCTCTTCCCCATCTCTCTCTTCTCCCCACGTTTCTCCTCTCTTCCCCATCTGTCTCTCTCCTCTCCCTTCTCCCCCCATCTGTCTCCGTTCCCCCACCCCTCCCCGCACCCCAGCGTGCGACTGTGACCCGGCCGGCTCGCAGGAGGGCGGTGCATGCGACGCGACCTCCGACCCCCGTACGGGCACCGTGGCGGGGCAGTGCCGCTGCAAGCCGGGCGTTGGAGGGGTGCGGTGCGACCAGTGTTTGCCCGGGTTTGCCGGCACGCCCTCCCGCGACAACCCCTACGGCTGCCAGCGTGAGTCTCCGCTCCTCCTCACCGTGTCCCCCTCGCCGCGGACGATGAGCCTGTGTGGGAGGGCTGGAGTTTGAGAAACTCTGCTCTTGACAGTAGCAGAGTGTGTGTGTGTGTGTAATTGGTAGGCTCGCCACGAGACTGCGGTACATCGTACGGTATGGGATCCGGGATAAATTGTAACGTCCCTTTAGTTAAAATATCGCCATGTCGTGATTATAGTTGTCCATTTTACCATTTAAAAATATTTAAATTCCTCATAGTAAATCCCTGACGGAATATTTACGTGATGTAAATATTTCAAAATAGTTCACGATAATCATTACAATGATAAAATATATATGTTTCCCGTGTTTTGTAAAGTGCGTTCTGGATAAATTGATGGCATGCCGGCTTAAATGACATCATAACCTACCAGAATGTGAGTTATAAGCGTTGTACCGATTGTAGAGTTTCAGCGATGAGAAGACATGCGGCACGTTTAAGGAGTGGATCGCAGTTGAAGGACTTTGTAAGCGATCGTTATTCCCACTCTCAGCGAAGCGTATCAATAAGCAAACATACAGTGCTGTAGACTCGTGGAAGTTAATATCGTTTTTTGTATCTTGAACAATTATTTTGGTGATGTGATCCAGCGGTAGCACATTCTCCACTTGTTGCAGAGCTTCACTGTTTGAAATCAGTGGCCGCTCTGGTTACTTCCTTCCGAGTGCATTGACCGTAAAAAATACTACGCGCGTCTGCTTTCACAGCGGACGTTACATTTTCCGTGACGGCGTCGTGCTCAAAATTTGAAAGATGACACTGCAAATTACTCAGCTGTGACTACACTTAGCAATCGTCGCCCCCTGCTGTGAAGAATTGACGAGCCACTCCTGGAGTCGTGAGACCGAGCGTGATGATTTCCTGGGTAAACAAGCATAATAATAATAACAATAACTATTACATCGCAGCAAACCTATACGGCACACACGGGACACCGTCCAGAACACAGGTCACATCCGGAACACGTTCCCCGTCCGGAAGACGGGTCCCGTCTGGAACTCGTGCCCCGTCCGGAAGACGGGTCCCGTCCGGATGACGGGTCCCGTCCGGAACATAGGGCTCAGTCCGGAACGCGGGCCACAGTCCGCCACCACGCATCACGACACCCTCGTGCCTGGCATTGCCGTGCATGTTGTGTTGTCTCTGGCGATCAGCGTGCAGGTGCAACGTGATGGGGACCGTCATGAACATGGGCGCGTGCGATCCCGCCACGGGCGCCTGCATCTGCAAGCGCTACGTGGGCGGCAGGAACTGCGAGCGGTGCCTGGTACGGACGATGGGGCGCAATTCGGATTCATCATCTTCTCGAAAGATATTTTCTGCCTCCCAGTCGCGCGACGTCATCGCCGTCCTGGGCCATCGTCTCCACGTCCACTCCACATTCCTTCGTATTCTGCTTCACCGCTTGGGGCCACCTCTTCCTGGGCCTACTCGGTCTCGGCCCTGGTGCCTCCGCGTTCATCAACTTTTTCCTCCGATGTGGTTGTCCTCTCTCGCCTTGCCCACCCGGTCCACCCAGTGACCCGGGCCATCTGAGTCGACTTTCAGCTGGTCCGAGACGAGCACCATCACGAACCCCTTAACCCCAGCCGACCTGTCCTCTCTTCCCTTCTTCGTCATCGCTTAATTTCGGGTTTACAAAGCTCGGCCCGAAGCCCAGTTGTAAGCGAGGGAGGGTTGGCGTCTGAATTTGGTTGACGGCCGTAAAAAAAAACGACGCCAAGCCCACGCTGCCTGCTGGCGGTGCCACAGCATGCGAGGTGTCGATTTATACAGCAGCCTCCAACTGAGATCTCATCTCAAGACGCTGGGCAAAAAGAAAAAAGAGCGGCGGGCTCGTTTATTTTATAGAGGCGGTCGGTCATAGACGGCAGGGGCCATGAAAGAATAACAATCTTGAGCGCTGGACTTTAACAGGGGCAGGGAGTCGGCAGCGTGGATGGCTGGGGGGAAGGGAACTCCCGATTGTGGGAAGCAGAGGAGGGGGGTCAAGGAGGCCTTGGCTGTTGGAGTGGACGGCGCGTGGAGGTGAGCGGAGCGAGATGAGGGTAGCGGTGAGGCAGGTTTGAGGCGGGGGTGAGTCCGTGACACTCCCGGCGCCGACTTCGAGTTGTTCTACTGCCCCCTGCCGGTTTGGGCCTTGCCGTGAGCGTGATCCGTGTGTGTGCCCCGTGTGTGTGTGTGTGCTGCGTGTGTGTGTGTGTTCCGTGTGTGTGTGTGCCCCGTGTGTGTGTGTGTGTGCCCCGTGTGTGTGTGTGTGCCCCGTGTGTGTGTGTCCCGTGTGTGTGTGTGTGTCCCGTGTGTGTGTGTGTGCCCCGTGTGTGTGTGTGTGTCCCGTGTGTGTGTGTGTGCCCCGCGTGTGTGTGTGTGCCCCGTGTGTGTGTGTGTGTCCCGTGTGTGTGTGTGTGTGCCCCGTGTGTGTATGTACCCCGTGTGTGTGTGTGTCCGTGTGCTCCGTGCGGTTGTTCAGGCGGGCTACTGGGGGCTCAGCGAGTCGGCCGGCGGCTGCCAGCCGTGCGACTGCGACTTCGGGGGCTCAGTGGACGAGACGTGAGGACGCACGAGCGCACGGGCACACGCGGTCACGGGCACACGGGCACGCGCGGTCACGAACGCACGGGCGAGCGGAGCCGCGACCATTCGTGGGCCAAGCCGATTAATCGCCGGTGTAGATGCCCGAGTGCCGGCGATGATGATTTTCGAATATTCGCCGAATTATTGCATCAACGCGTGTTTGATCACATTGGTGGCAGAGAAGCGCAACGTGTTACCCTATTTTTTTACTTGACTTGATTAGGAGTATATAAATATATTTTACTCGATGAATTGATCAATTTTTGCCTAAATATGCCTGGTATGACAATTAATCAATTCAAGCATCATTTTGTTTGTACTCTCTCTGCATTTGTTGTCTCATTGTATAATCGGTCTAGTTTATTCTGTCTCTTCTGTTGCGTCTTGTTTGTATCGTCCGTTTAATAATAATTTATGTTCTGTTCCTTCTGCCTCCTTTGTCCAATTATTCTCGGGATACAGAATCGCGTCATTTGCGTATAATCCTCATACAACGTAGATCATTGATTCTCACAGGCACGATATGGCGCGTGTATCCTGTGAGAATTCGAATTTCATTGATTCATCAATACTCGCTTTGTATCAACACAGCTCCTACAATTAACCAAACATCTCCCAATTATTCACACTCCAATTATCCAGATCTCACTGATTTAACTTAAGTGGCCTATGTTGCTGCTACTGCTGTGGCTACATGGCTAGCCTCTCTCTGGGAGGAGGCCCGTGATTCAAACTTCAATTGCCCCTTCCGTTTGTTGTGGTAACGGAACTTCCTGCTCCATTCACTACCTCACCTGTCCCACCCACCCACCGAACCCGTACCACCCACCGAACCCGTCCCACTCGTCCCACTCAACCCGTCCCACCCAACCCGTCCCACCCACCTTTGTCTCTTCCGGTACCGCCAGGTGCTCAGCGGAGGACGGGCAGTGCCAGTGCCGCCCACACATGCTGGGGCGCCGCTGCGAGGAGGTGCAGCCTGGATATTACTGCATGCCCCTTGACCTGTACACCTCGGAGGCCGAGGACGCCACGTTCCTGCCCGTGCAGCCGCTGCACGGAGGCTCTGTCGTGAGTGTGGGAACGATCCAAGCCAACCACCACCACCGTGACGACAACCACGCCACCACCATGACCACCACCGTGACTACAACCACACCACCACCATGACCACCACCGTGACTACAACTACACCACCACCATGACCACCACCGTGGCTACAACCACGCCACCACCATGACCACCACCGTGGCTACAACCACACCGCCACCATGACCACCACCGTGGCTACAACCACACCGCCACCATGACCACCACCGTGGCTACAACCACACCACCACCATGACCACCACCGTGACTACAACCACACCACCACCATGACCACCACCGTGACTACAACCACACCGCCACCATGATCACCACCGTGGCTACAACCACACCACCACCATGGCCACCACCGTGGCTACAACCACACCACCACCGTGACCACCACCGTGGCTACAACCACACCACCACCATGACCACCACCGTGACTACAACCACACCACCACCATGACCACCACCGTGACTACAACCACACCACCATGACCACCACCGTGGCTACAACCACACCGCCACCATGACCACCACCGTGCTGTTGTTGTAACTTTCCGACCTGCCCCTACTAGAAATCTGTGAAAAAGAGCTTCAAAGCTCATCGGGTTCTTCCAGTCTAAAACAAACATTCATATTCTGATTATGACGACAACCACACCAACAACAACAACCGCCGTCCACCACTAAGTGGCCGTGACGTCACCACGGCACCTGTGCCAAGCTTGGTTCACTTCGAGGCTGCGTGACGTATTGAAGGCTAGCTGGAATTAGTTCACGGGACAGACCCAGGTGCCGTGGGCTGACTGACTGAGATGACTGCCCAGTAGCGACCTTCACGAGCCTCCTCCTCTGCGGCCACGCCTCCACCACCATGACCACCACCGCCACCCCAGCCACAACCACTAGCCTGACTTCAACTACCACTACAACCACCACCGCCATCAGCTCCACCGCAACCACCAGTCACCGGGTGGTCACGCCGTGTCGCCGTGCGGTGGTGCTGTGTTGCAGGGGAACACGTCGGACTGTGACGAGTTCATGCAGGTCCCAGGCCACAACAGTCCGGGCGGTCCCGGCTCCAGCGCCAATGTGAGACACTGCAAACTGCACCTGGCGCTACTGATGCTGCTGGTGCTACTGATGCTACTGATGCTATTGATGCCGCTGGTGCTACTGATGCTGCTGGTGCTACTGATGCTGCTGGTGCTACTGATGCCGCTGGTGCTACTGATGTTGCTGGCGCTACTGATGTTGCTGGCGCTACTGATGCCGCTGGTGCTACTGATGCTGCTGGTGCTACTACTACCGCTGGTGCTACTGATGCTGCTGGTGCTACTGATGCTGCTGGTGCTACTGGTGCTGCTGGTGCTACTACTGCTGCTGGTGCTACTGATGCTGCTGGTGCTACTGATGCTGCTGGTGCTACTGATGCTGCTGGTGCTACTGTTTACAAGTGGTGCTGGTGGTGCTATGGCTGCTGCTGGTGCTGCCGGCCACTGCTGCTGCTGCTATTTCTAGTCTATCGTTGTTGGTGTCACCGCAGCTCTCGGAGCAACTACGGCCACTGGTGCAGCCACGCGGGTAACGGAGCCGTGCGTCGACACCGTGCGTGCGCGTGCCTGCGTGCGTGTGAGCAGCTCCCGGTGGTGGTGGTGGCCGGAAGCGCCGCGCCCGGCACGCTTGTCACGTGGACGGGGCCCGGCTACGCGCGAATTCGCGACGGCGCCGGCCTCGAGTTCACCGTCAGCAACATTCCCTACTCGGGCGAATACAGGGTGGCCATCCGCTACAAGCCGGAGGTGCGAGCCCCTTCTCACCCACGCCCCCTGCCCCCACCGCCGGCACTCGGCCGGGCGCAGGGCAACGCGCGGCGCGATTCCCGCGGTTTCCGCGGACAGGCGGCCGGGCGGCGCAGGGGTCGGAGACGCCGGACCGGCGACTGCCGAGGGCCTGGGTTCGAATCCGGGTTCCTGCTGCACCAAGCACAGCGATTTACGCTGGGTTTTTCCAGCGTAGATAGCCGATGTTGTCAGAACCTGTGTGGTCTATCGTTTGAGATCGGTGATTCCATCGTTTGAGATCGGTGATTCCAGTCGCATCGGCGGAAGACATGGCCACATCTGCAAAGTGACGACGTTCAAATGCAGTACCAACAGCGTCGCGGGTAATGTTGGCGAATTATCGTGATGTTTAATCGACGCGTCTGCCTTGTCGCTTAACTCTTCGCGCTTCCGAGTCTCGCTCGGACGCCGAGTCATCATTTTGTGCAAAATGTGCGCGTTGTAAATTGTTTAATCGTTGTTGGTGTTGTTGTCCACAGCTGAACGAACCGTGGGAGGCGCAGGTCCAGGTGCTGTCCCAATCGTTGCCCACGCAGAGCCGCTGTGCCAACATGCTCCCGTCCGACGAGATGCAGATCGTGCCTCTCAACCCCACGCAGAGGTGAGCAAGCGCGGCTTGCAGCCACGGACAGAGCGTGAGAGGCATACTGGATGTGGTGTGCCGGGCGCAGTGATATTTCCGGGTCACCGGTGGACCGGAGTAGTGAGGCGACGTCGAAGTAATCGCAAACAACCTCACGAGCAACCACAACCATAGCGAGGGGTATACTGGATGTGGTGTGCCGGATGCAGGAAATAATGTTCCGGGTCATCAATACAGCCAAAATAAAACTGTGGGTGAGCCCTCCCTCTGATGTGAGTGTGGATCCTGGCCGGGTCTCTCTCACCTTGAAATGTAGCAGAAGTTGCCTGGCCCTCTTCTCCCCCACACATGCGTGTGTGTGTACCTGCGCGTGTCTGTACGTGTGCATGTGCGTGCGATCGTGCGTGTGTGGGTACGTGCGTGCGTGTTCCTAGCGTGGCGTCGATGCCCGTGGCCGTGTGTCTGGAGACGGGCGTGCGGTACGTGGTGCGGGTGGTGGTGCAGCGGGCACGGTCCACGCGCAGGCACCCCAACGCGCACATGCTCGTCGACTCGGTGAGACAACGCACGCACGCACGCACACATGCACACACACACGCACGCACGCACACACGCACGCACACACACACACACGCACGCACGCACGCACGCACACACGCACGCACGCGCCGACCTCTGCGCTTTGGCGCCGCCATCATCGGCGTTGTGGTCGTTGTCGTTTATGCGCGAGGCCGTCTCTCTCTGGGTTGCATCGCGTATCGTGCGGCACGATGTACGACGTTTCACTCCATGTGCCGGGAGCTTCTTCAGGAACTGGATTTCGTTTTTTGTTCCACGTCGGGCATCTGTGCCGATCGACCCAAAAATTATTTGGGGAGCTGCGACCCGTTGATGTGATAGGAATAGGCTTCACCCTTTCTGGCAATGATGAAACATGTGTAACGATGTTCAAACACCAAATGAGATACCTATTGCAAGGCATCAAAGTCTGCATTGACCACACGTGCAAAGAAACACGCTTTGATAGAAATATGCATTGCCTTTGAAGCTGATTGGCCTACACCAGAGACGGCCTTATTTTATGGCCTCGTCTCACCACCGGTGTTAGAGCAGAGAATGCCAAAAGGCGAACGGTACAAAGGCAAAGCGAGTATCAGAGTATTAATAACTGTGGTTGAGCAGTTAAATCTACAGGACGTTTTTTTGCCAGTATCAAAATGTAAAAAAAATCGAAGTATAGGCTTTACCAAAAAAACCAAAGAGTATGGTAAAGTCACGTAGGTATAAAATAAAATAAATTAAATCACGACGTTTCAGGCGTAACACAAGCGTCCGTCATCAGGTGGTTATTTTATACCCACGTGACTTTACTGAACGAACCAAAGAGTATGGATCCCTGCAGTCACGCAACCTTCAAATCACAATTGCCTGCACTTGATAACGATTATAATTGTGAAAATTATAGTTTTTTCGCCAATTGTTGGCATCGCCATCATCATTGCTATCACCACATTATCATCATTATTGTCCCCACATTATTATCCTCATCATCATCATGATTATAAAGATCACATTTATAGCCATTACCATCACCGCATTGTAGTAATCACCAACACTTTACCATCATCACCATCATCGTTTAAGACCCTCCTTTTCACCTCTGCCTGTAAGACTGTCTACCTCTAGCCGCTATACTGTTTCCGTATAGCGGTTTGAGATGCGGTCGCATTTACAACAAAGACAACGACAAAGATCCCTTGTGTAGGCTTAACAGACTGTTGGGGCAAGTGCTGTTAGCGAGCACCTATGAAGGCCGGAACAGGACACGAGGGGGTGACTGGCCAGTACCATGCGTGGCCGCCTTTGTCTCCCCAGTGGTGATGTTCACAAATTGCACGAGATACTCATTTGAGGCTGAGTCGACCTAGGGGCAGCCCAGGACCGGTTCAGATGACAATTGTCATTGGTGTCGGTACCGGCCGTGAGCGGGAATCGAACTCTGGCCAGTGGGTTCGTAGCGCGATGCGCTGACCGCTACGGTACCACTCCCCACATACAGACCGGTATATCCACGCACAACGATAAAAAAAAAACACGGCCACCATTCACAGCTTGGGTACTACTGCATGTCCCTTGACTGCTAACCGCAGTGCCACCGCTCCCCGCCACGCATTTGAAATCCACACGAAAATCCCACTTTGCCTCGCGTTCGCTCCGCCCCTCCTCCCGCCGGCGCCACCGCCACCCGGCACCGCGCAGCTGGTGCTGTTCCCGCACGTCCCTTCGCTGCCCGGATTCTCGGGCAGCGCCGGTCAGAAGCGGCGCGAGGAGCTGGAGCGCTACATGTGCCTGGACGCGTACCGCGACGCCACGCGGCCCATGCTGGCCGAAGCCTGCCGCCCCCTCGTGTGTGCCATCTCCAGCATCCTGCACAACGGGCCCCTGCGTGAGTGACCGCCCGACCCCCGACACCTGACCTGACCCCCCCCCCCCCACACCCTACCCAATGTGCCGTGAGAAACAGGGCCATTGCCCGAAACGTCGCCTGTTGTACATTTTTCCCTTTGAAGGCTGCACAATGTTATTGACGATTGTATTATTTGATTATTTCTCTGCTCAATTGTGGCACTGCTCGGTCACGCCCCGTGGTTCACATTGGCCTTGGTGCAAGGAATAACATGGGGGGGTGGGCCCAGTGGGGGGCCCACCTCTGTACAATGTTTTGCCTCCCCCTTAGGCCCCTCCTGTCCCTCATCCTGGCTTCATGAGCCCAAGTAATTGACACTGAACTCAGCGGTGAAGCGTGGTCGGCCTCGGCCCTGGTGCACGATTTCCTCCTCCCCCTTCGTAGCCCAGTGCCTGGACCCCCTCCGGCCGGCGGGGCATGGTGTGGTTGCACCGCCTGTACACTCTCGAGCTACTCCACTGGGCACTGGCGGCACCTTGCGGGCACCAAAATGCCAAACGTGAAAAGGGGGACGACAACGACAAAAACACGGCCGGCCCCAAGTGGTCGATTTCGCAGCAGTTGCTAAATCGACCACTTGGCGAGTGCTCTCGGCTGCGTGGCGAGCACTCACAGGTGGAGGTTCGTCCACCTGCCGTTGTACTGCCCTCTGCTGGCGAGCCAAGGTGTACGGCTCCTCCTCATCCTCGACGCCCACGAGATAGGGGGGTTCACAAAGTCCGTGCGATCCGCCAGCCCTCGCTGCCAACCCCCACTGTGCTGGATTAGAGGCCACGGCCATGTGCCCCCCCCCCTCCCGTCCCAGCGTGCGAGTGTAACCCCCAGGGTGTGACGAGCTCCGTGTGCCCCCCCCGTCCCAGCGTGCGAGTGTAACCCCCAGGGTGTGACGAGCTCCGTGTGCCCCCCCCCGTCCCAGCGTGCAAGTGTAACCCCCAGGGTGTGACGAGCTCCGTGTGCCCCCCCCATCCCAGCGTGCGAGTGTAACCCCCAGGGTGTGACGAGCTCCGTGTGCCCCCCCCCCTTCCCAGCGTGCGAGTGTAACCCCCAGGGTGTGACGAGCTCCGTGTGCCCCCCCCCCGTCCCAGCGTGCGAGTGTAACCCCCAGGGTGTGACGAGCTCCGTGTGCCCCCCCCCGTCCCAGCGTGCGAGTGTAACCCCCAGGGTGTGACGAGCTCCGTGTGCCCCCCCCCCGTCCCAGCGTGTGAGTGTAACCCCCAGGGTGTGACGAGCTCCGTGTGCGAGGTGCTCGGTGGCCACTGCCTGTGCCGCCCCAACGTCATCGGCCGGCGCTGCGACGCCTGCAGCCCGGGGACCTTCGGCTTCGGGCCGCAGGGCTGCCAACGTACGAGCACACACACACGCACACACACACACACACGCACACACACACACGCACACACACACGCACACACGCACACACACACACGCACACACACACACACGCACACACACGCACACACACACGCACACACACACACGCACACACACACGCACACACACACACGCACACACACACGCACACACACACACGCGCACACACACACGCACACACACACGCACACACACACGCGCACACGCGCACACGCACACACACGCACACACGCACACACGCGCACACACACACGCACACGCGCACACGCACACACGCACACGCACACACGCACGCACGCACGCACACGCACACACGCACACACGCACGCACGCGCACACGCACACGCACACACACGCACACGCGCACACACACGCGCACGCGCACACGCACACGCGCACGCGCACGCACACACGCACACGCGCACACGCACACGTGCACACACACACGCACGCACACGCGCACACGCACACGCGCACGCACACGCACGCACACACGCACGCACACGCACGCACACACGCGCACACGCACACACGCGCGCATATATATACTACAACAACAACAATCGTCGTTCGACATTAATTGGCGATGTTGTCACCACAGCGATTGTGCCAGGCTAGGTGCACTGTGAGGCCATGTGAAGTTGTCAAATGCTCCACTGACAGGAGGTCACGGGACAGACCCAGATGTGATGGGCCAATGCCTGAAATGTCTGGCAGATGCGCACCACCTGTGCTCCCCATCTATGCACGTGCACGTGTTACATAACGACTCTGTGAGCGTGATGCCATATCGACAATGTTCAGCAACCCACACCGAGCGGCGTGGTGGGATTTGCTTGAATAAGTCCCATGACCTACATGTGAGGAGGCCTATCGTCATGTATGTACGTCGAACTTCTTTCACGCCGTACGTAGCCAACCATCATCTCAACTTCCCCCTCTCCCTTCCCTGCCATCCCTCCTCACCCCCCTTCTCGTAGCAGGCATTTATTTAACCTGATATTTTTTTTTACTGCTTTTCATCCATTCTTAAAATGTAACTAGTTCATCAATGATGTTTTTTTTATGGCTTGTACAGCACTCAATCGAAAACAAATAACAATGCTCATATTGTTGTTACCGTTATCATCGTCATCGCCATCCGAACGGCGCTAACATTATAAGGTCACACTTATTACACCAAAAATGCTTGCCACAAATGAACCACAATACTTTGCTGATCTCGTCAAGGAGCTTAAGCCATCAAGCGAACTCCGGTCATTCTCGCAGCAGCAGCAGCTTGTGGCTCGCCAATCGAACAACGACAGTCATTGCGTCGCGTGCTTTCAAACCCGCTTCTGCGGCCGTCTGGAACGCTCTTCCGTCTGATATTCGGGCGCCAAATCTAGATTGAAAATTTAGTTCTTTAGAACTGTTTTTTGTGTTTAGTTTTTTTGTCCTCACCCCCTCACCTCCGACGTGCACGGTTGGCTACATACGGCGTGAAAGAAGTTCAACACACGCACCTACACCCTTAGACATTTTTGGGTTAGATCGCGTATATTATGGATGATATTGGTCGGATGACATTGGTCGCGAAAGCCTACGTGTTAAAACGCACGTACATACGTACGCACACGAACGCATGCAACACACATGAACACGCGGGCCGCTGCGCGTGCGCGTGTTGCAGGCTGCGCGTGCGACCCCGCCGGCACCACGGGGGGCACGTGCGACGCCGCGAGCGGGCAGTGCCTGTGCCTGCCAGGCGTGGCGGGGCGCGAGTGCTCGCGCTGCGACTCGGGCCGCTTCGGCTTCCCGCGCTGCGCCCCCTGCCAGTGCGACGGCCGCGCCAGGGACTGCGACCCCGAGAGCGGTCAATGCCAGGAGTGCCTGGAGCATTCTACCGGAGAGAACTGTGACAGGTGATGGGTCCCGTGACGGCTCAGGGCTTCTTCACGCCTGTGGAATCCTTAGACCACCACCACCACCACACCGTAACACAAGAGGGGTTTTTGTTGCGTTGGATTAAAAACAAAAAGCAACTTAATGGATAATATTGGTCGCGTGTAGCCGACGTGTTGAACTCCTTAGAACCCCACCCCCCGTCAGTCGATCACGCAGCATCTTGCCGCAGTGGCGAAACGTCATCCCCCTCGCTTGGTATGCAGGAGGTCGTGGGTGATGTTACCTGCCTCGCCTGGTATGCAGGAGGTCGTGGGAGATGTTACTTGCCTCGCCTGGTATGCAGGAGGTCGTGGGTTAGATCTCGACCCTGACGCTTGCATATTTGGATCTTGGGGTGACAGGATGGGGGTGTGATTTAAGCAGTACTTTGCCGTGCTGGTCAGTGCGTGTTGGTTAAGGTGGACACAAGTGTGGGGCCATAGAAGCGTGTGGATATTTCCGCGAGTTTTTTCCCTCCACGTTTATGAACGCGCGTTTAGAGTACTCGGCCGCGATAAATTTCCACGTGACGAGAAGCCATCTCGTTGAGCTGTCATTTGTGGCCAGGTCACTTCTGAAGAAGAGCTACGTAGCTCAGTGGGGCCCTGCCTGGTCAATAAAATGGGAACTTAAAAGAGAAGGACGCGGTGTGCATTCGTACGGCGGTGGCTAAACGCGACCGCAGGCCCAGACGCAGAACAGGAAAAAGTGGGAATATTTTTTTTTTTTACGGAGAAAGGAAGTTGGTGCTAGGCAGAGGAGAAGGTCGAAGGTCGTGAACAGAGGCAGAGAGTCGACAGCCCCGGACGGCTGGGGGAAATGAGTTCCGGACTGTGGGGGCAGCAGAGGAGAATGAGCGACCTCCCACTGAGCGTTGGAAAGGCTTCGTTGCTAGGGTGGAGAGTGCGCGGAGGCGAGTCGAGTGACATGAAATGAGAGAGAGGTGGGCATGGGGTGAGGGCAGCATAATTGTGAACCGACACGAGGCTTTGCACTGTGCGGTGTGAGAACTACAAATGGAAACGGCGTCATCTCATGGGAAGACATTGCAGTATTCTTCTTCTTTCGTATGGCTGATGTAGATGCAGAGCAAGAACTACAATTTCACATTCAGAATCAGAATATGTATTTATACTGCAGGAATCTGATTTGATATTAAGATCTTTTTGACAGCTGTCCAGTAGTTTTCACAGATGTCCAGATGGTCAAGCCGGACAAGCACGTCAGGTGCAGCAGAGTAGTTTATCGCTGTGATGTCTCGTTCCTATTTGTGTATTGGGGCATTGCCTCATTATATGTTATTCGGTCTGTTCTGGATGACCACAGTCACAGTCTCCTGGAGAGTTTTTAATATTCCATTTGTGCATCAGCTATCCGCATCTACTGCCACGGTTCATGCAGTGGATGCGATTTAGGGTGGACCATGAGCTTCGTGGAAGAACAAACCCATTGATCTTCTGTGTTGGGTCTTTCACAACGTGTTTGTTTGTGAGTTCTTTTCAACTCCATTCAGCTCTCTAAGCTCCACATTGTTTAAGGTTAAGCGCATGAGTCCAAAAGGGCTTGCATGACTTCAAGCGATGAAGAGGAATGTTATTGAGTTCCTGATGAATGGGAAGGCGACCGTTTCCCTCGATTCGCAAGGCTTCCCGGAGGGTTGCAGCGTTGCGGCGAATTGGTGGGAGAGAGAGATTCGTGACAGCACTGGCAGCCAGGGTGTTGGGATCGACTTGAGGGTTCCAGTAATACACCACATTGCGGTGTTCAATTGGACATCAACAAGTCGAGTGCGACTACTTCTTGGTCCACACTGGTGCACAGTACTCGGCTACAGGGTCCACAAGGGCCATCGTTGATGTCCGTAGCACTGGGTGTTGATGCCCCACTGACTGTGCTTGCCAGTTTTTGGACCATGTTGACTCTTGTTGGAAGGTTGTTCGCGAAGTGGAAAGCCAAAATCGTTAAAAGTGTGAAGGAAGGGAGCGCAATCGCAAGACGACACCTTGTCATCTTCCCCCTCCCCTCCCCTCCTCGCTACCCCCCCCCTCCGCCGCAGGTGCGAGCCCGGTTACTACGGCGACCCGCGCCTGGGCTCCGGCGGGCGTTGCCGGCCGTGCCAGTGCCCCGGCGAGCCGGGCAGTGGCCGCTTCTTCGCGACGACGTGCAGCACGGACCCCGCGACGCGCGGCGCGGTGTGCCAGTGCCTCCCGGGGTACACGGGTGAGCACGGCGCCATGGCGACGGCGGTCGTGACCCCCCCCTACCGGTGGTGGAGAGAAGCGAGATTGTAGTGACTCTACGCACTCCTGCTCTGCTCCTATGTTGCAATGGGCCCGGCTGTCCGGGTCGCACCCCTCCACTTCTGGTTGCGGGGGTCCTTCCCCCTGCGCCCCTCCCACCACTCTACACCTTCATGTCACCTCTTCGTGTTCCCCTTCCACCTCATCTTCGCTGCCTCTCCTCCCTCCACTCTCCGCGTTGAACACTCTGACCGTGATGCTTCCCTCCTCGCTGTGCACGACACGGACGCGCCGTGGTCGCACTTCCCTCGCTTGGTCGGCACGACCTCCTGCTAACTCCGCACACCGCTGTGACTGTATGCGTAGCGCCGTGTGTTCTCCCGAGGCGATGCGATTGATGCCAACGGAATGGGCAGGCCTTCATCCTGCAGGCGGATATTTCTGTTCCGTTTTTGGTGAATGGCCAATAGCGACGTCTGCTCGCCACGAGGAATATTTTGATGTTTTTTCCTGAATTTTCTGTTTGCACAGTCACATAGTCACTTTTAAGATGTTTTCTTGTTCATGTTTTTGTTTTTTGTTTGTTGCGGTTGCACCCGATTCAAGAGCCGAATGGCTCACAGGGCTATACCAAATAAATGGAACTGAACTGAACTGAAATGGGAGGGCTTCAGGAGAGAGCTCGTGAAGTCTTGCTATCCCCTCCTCCGCTGAAGGAGCGCGCGCTGCAATGGTTTACTGCTTGGTTCACAGTTCGGGTTGCGTGGCCACAATCGCGCTCCTGTTGCGTGCATCGGCCCATTGATGTTCTGATGCAATTGATGAGGAGGACTGCCGAAGCCCGGATGCGTGCGATGTTTGGGTCTCGCACGAGATGTTTATCCGGATAAATCGCAAGCGATGAAGGTGACGACGACGACGACGACGACAAATCTTTTGTTGCGCATAACCGACGAGGTCCTGTCGTCACCTCTGAGCTGTCGAGTGTGCTTGTGACGGCGGCCCGACGGTGGAGTAAACGGCCAGCGCTTGTTGCGGCGCGCACAGGGACGCGGTGCGAGGCCTGCGCCCCGGGCTTCAGCGGCGACCCGTCCGTGGCCGGGCGGCCGTGCTCGTCGTGCGACTGCAGCGGCAACGTGGACCCGCGCGACCCCAAGGCCTGCGACCCCGTGAGCGGCCGCTGCCAGCGCTGCCTGCACAACACGCACGGCGAGCGCTGCGAGAAGTGCCGCACCGGCTTCTACGGCGACGCCTTGCGGCAGGACTGCAAACGTGAGCGGCTCCCCCCACGCGTGCGCCCTCCCGGTTTGCCGCGCAACGCTGGGCCGATGTTGGCGATGTCGTCGGAACTGTTAGCCGCAACGTTGGCACCAACTTTAGCTCCGACGTTGGCCCTGACGTTGGCGCCAACGTTGCTCCGATGTTGGCTCAACGTTGCCCCAATGTTGCCTCAACATTGCCCCGATGTTGGGTCCAACGTTGCTGCAATATTGGCTCAACGTTGCCCCAATTTTGGGTCCAACGTTGCCCCAATGTTGGGTCCAACATTGCCCCAATGTTGCCTCATCGTTGCCCCAATGTTGGGTCCAACTTTTCCCCAATGTTGGGTCCAACGTTGCCCCAATGTTGGGTCCAACGTTGACCCAATCTTGCCTCAATGTTGCCCCAATGTTGGCTCCGACGTTGGCTCCGACGTTGCCCCAACATTTGCCCAACGTTGCCACAAAATAGGCCCGACATTCCGTATATATTGGGCTCTTGCTCCTCCCGCCAGGCCTTGCAGTGTGCCCGATGGAGACCAGTTGTGTATTGTAGATGCGAATGATGAGTCGTAGGTGTACAGAAATTGCGTATTTTATTTCCGTGTGTAAATTTAATTTCTGCGCATCTTTGCGGTCGGGGTCGTCCCATCTGAATCGTGATGATAAACCGAGCGTGAGCGACGGCCGTAATCCCTAACCCAGATGCTAACACAGTATCCATTATACTGGGCAAGGTCACCGCATTCATGCCATCGGTAATTCTTATCCCAGACCCTAAAACAAGCGCAAATAATAAAGGCAACGCTAACCGCGATGTGAACACCTTATAATATCTTTAATCATAATCTTAACTCTGAACCCACCAGCCATAACCAGAGCCTGAGCTCTAACATTGAGTGTATACTTATTCCCAACCATAGTCTAATCATATTCTCACCCTGAAAGCAAAATCCTAATCCTAATATGACTGAGAAAAATTACCTAAATTGTACAGCTCAGGCAAACAATATCTAAATATCCTCATAGATAATAATGTCCATAACCCGAATAATTATCCAAACACTATAACCCAAAGCTGTCTTTGCGGTGCAGCCTTGACCAGGTGCTCACTAATAGTGCATGCCCGCCAACCCTCCATTACGGTTGCTGTCTCTGAATTACAAAAGAAAAAAACCCCGGGACATGTCAGGGGAAGAGAAATATCTCACGCCCCGTGAGAGGGGGAGAACGACATGTCGTCTTGAGCGGTGTATCGTAGTTATTATTACGCACCTGAAAATAAATAATACGGAATTTTTGATGTCCGGGGAAAATCGACAGGTTTCTCAGGACGGCAGACGGGTTTGCCACCTGTCCTGGGAAAACCAGGGGCAGGTGGTAAGATGTTAACTACCTCGCCTGGTATACAGGAGGTCGTGGGTTCTATCCCGACCCTGACGTCTGTTTATTTTGAGTTTTGCGTGTCTCTCTCCCCGTGGTCACGTGGATTTTTGTCCGGGTCTTCCAGGTTTTCCCATCCACACTTAGAATCAACATGCATTTAGAGTATTTGGCTGCTATAAATTTCCACATGACGATAAGCCACTTCGTTGAGCTATCATTTGTGGCCAGGTCGCTTCTGAAAAAAGATGTACATAGCTCCGTGGGCCTCACCTGCTAAAGTAATAGTTTAGTTCGTCTGTGCCGGACCCTACGCGTGCGCGACCGTTGCCGCTTGGCCCGTACCCTAACCCCGCGCACGTTTGACTCTGCTCAGCCTGCAGCTGTATTGAGGCCGGCACGGAGCCCGCCAGCTGCCCTGGCGGTGCGCAGCCGTGCCGCTGCGACGCTCGCACCGGGCAGTGCCGGTGCCGGGCGGGCGTCGAGGGCAGCTCGTGCGACCGCTGCGCGCTGGGACACTGGGGCCTGGGGGGCAGCGGTGGCTGCCAACCGTGCGCCTGCAACCCGGCGAGGGCTCGCGGCCAGACCTGCGACCCGGTGAGGTGACCACGCCTGGGCCCACAGGACCCTTGAGCGCTGATCGGCATGCCACGGGAATGCCTATTTTCCGTCACTTGTTACGGGCCGTCTACAGAGACGAGCGTTTCCACATTGCTCGTTGAGGCAGGGAAACAAAGCAGCCGTGAGGGAATGAACGAGCGATTGAGTGATTGCGTGAGTGATCGAGTGAGTGGTTGAATTGGTGAGTGATTGAGTAAGCGATTGCACGAGCGAATTCGTGAGCGAACGGGGTGAGTGACTGAATTTGAGCGAGCCATTGAACAAGTGAGTGAATGTCTGAGCGATTGAGCGAATGAGGTGCACGCGTAACTCACACCAAGTGGCCCCCCCATGTGTCCCTCCTCCCCGTCCCAGGTGACCGGGCAGTGTGAGTGTCGCCCAGGGTTTGGAGGTCGCACGTGCGACGATTGTGGCCCCAACCACTGGGGGTCTCCCGACAAGGGATGCAAGCGTGAGTATCGGGGCCGCACAACCGGCTCCTCCCTCCCTCCCCCCACCCCCCTATCCTCCTCCCTCCCTCTTCGTTCCCCTTGTCCGTAACCTGTTAAGGCCGTGACGCACTCGGGTAGTACTATCGTGTTTTTCTATATTTTGAAGAGCTAAAGTCACACTGGGAATTCACCAATGCCTCTTCGACTATTAAGCACTGAGCGATTTCAAATTTGCGGCACTGCAAATTATTTTAGAAAATTATTCGCAGTGCCGCCGTGGAATGTGTGAAAGGCTCTCTGCACCATTCATTCTATAACTTTATTCGAGAAAAAGAGGAAGCCATATATGCCAGCGTTATGGTCCGAATTTTTCATAATTACCAAAGCATTTAAGTGCCCTATGCGTGCAAATGCATGATATAAGAAGGGGACTGAATGCCGGTGATCGAGCGAGAGTGACTGTAGTGAGTGCTGGTTCGTCGCTTCTATCAAGTATCCGTCCATGTGTTTGTGCAGCGTGTGACATTGGGGAGCGGTAGTCTAGCCGAGTTTGATTCCTGCTCATGGCCACCAACACCAGTGACGATTATCTGAACCGGTTCTGGGCCTCTCCTCGGAGGTCGACTCGGCCTCCAATGGGTGGTAGAGTGTGTAAACATCAGGAGACGAAGGCGGCCGAGTGTGGTGCTGGCCACACAGCCCCCCTCGTGTGCCGTCTCGGCCTTCATGCGCGCTCGCTTAACAGCACCTGCCCCGACAGTCCGTTAAAGGCTAGACGGGTGATCTTCATCTTTGCCTTTGCAGCGTGCGACTGCCACCCCCAGGGCGGCACGTGCGACGCCACGAGCGGGCGCTGCGTGTGCCGCGACGGCGTGACGGGCGCGCGCTGCGACGCGTGCTCCCGTGGCGCGGCCGGAGACTTCCCGGCCTGCAAGCCGTGCCACGCGTGCTTCTCGTGGTGGGCGCGCAAGATCGAGGCCCTCTGCGCCCGCGCCACCGCCCTGCGGGACCGCGCCGAGAAGCTCGCCGACGTGAGAGCTTCCCACCCCTGCCCTCCACACGTCAAAACCAACCACCGATAAAACGTCGCGTGGAGACGTATATTAAGAGACGGAATGGCAACAACAACAAGATTTCCGGCTGCAAGGAGAATTGAGACGGTGCTTAGCTCCCATTTACAATACTGAACAATTTGGGGAAATTCAACATTCCCATGACAGGGTCGGTTACGGGCATAGGACAACCACTGTTGACTTCCCCCACAAAATGGTTTTTCATTTTATTGACCCCGGAGAGGTGATGGGCTGAGTCAATTCTGAAGCCAAGATTTGAATTCGCGTCCATCGCGCATCTCACCCCCCCCACAACCCCCTCCTGCCATGGACCAGACGGGGATCTCCGGCGCCTACGACGGCCGATTTGAGGAGCTGGAGAAGAAGCTGAAGGAGGCGCAGGACATCATCGCCAAGGGCAACGAGCGGCCCAGCGACGTGGCGCGCCTCGAGATGTTGCGCGACAACATCAGGTCAGAGGTTGCGAATAAGAGGCGTGGCGCGCGGGGGAGCCGCTGGGCGAAAACCAGCGGCTCCTCCGAATTAGCACCGTTAGCTACGTACGGTCCAAAAGAAGTTTAACATACATACGTAGCTATCGAGTTTGCAGGTGGTGCAACTGCACCGGAGCACCGTGAGGCCGGAAGAGGAGTCCAGGTTCCGCGGTACGAAGAAGGGGGAAGGGAATTTGGACAGGAGGAGGGGTGGCTTAATTTAGTTACTTACACCAGGGCCCATGCTACTGTGTCAATTGTGATTTACTCGGCTATTTAGGGCTCAGTGTTTATTAAAGAAGCTACATAGTGGGCAGGCAGTGCACCTGTACTGGGGCACCATGGGGCGAAAGAGGACCAGGTGCTTGCCTGTGGCAAGTGGGGGAGACATTGGACCTGGGGGTATTGGGTTTGCACCTCACAGCCACCCCACCCACATGTCTCCTCTCCTCGTCTGTCTGTCTTCTCGTGTCCTCCTCTCCTCCGCCTTCCCATCTCCTCTTCCGTCCTCCTCTCCCCATCTCCTCCTCCTCTCCTCGCCTTATCTCTCCCATCTCTTCCACTCGCCTGTTTTCTTATCTCTCCGCCTCCCTGCCTCCGTGTCTACTCCTCTGCGCATCTCCCCGTCTCATCTCAACCGTCCCCCTGCGCAGGCGGCAGCTGGATCGTCTGACGCAACTCGTCTCGGTGGCCGAGGCGACCGTGAAGTCTCTTCAGAGTCAGCGCGACCGCACCGACCTCGACCTGGACGCTCTGGAGCGCGACGCCCTGCGGCTGAACGCGTCGGCTGCCCTGGCCTACTCCAGGCTGCAGGGCATCCTCAACTCTGACTTCAGCGGTGCGCAAAGGGGCTCCTGCACCTCGCTCTGGCTCACACAAGCACACACGCACATACGCACACTTGCAAAGATAGAGATTCCCGCATCGTTAATCGAACACAAGGCTCGATATTTTAAACGAGCGACGAAATCCCAATACCTTTGGTGGGGGGGTGGGGAGATGGGGTGGGCACACCGGGACAGCCTTTCTCAAACTGCCCGGACTGTCCTGGCCAAACTGGGATGTTTGGTGGCTTTGCCCGCCACGCTGCGCAAGCCCCTCCGGTCCTTGCCTCCACCCCGTCCGCCGTCGCGCAGGCGCCTTCGACAGCATCCGGCGCTCGTGGCAAGACTCGCGCAACGCCCAAAAGCAGGCGGAGACGGCGACCGGGGGACCGTCGGGGCCCGTGCGCGCCTCCCAGAAGGCCCGGCGGCGCGCGGAGGACCTGATGCGGCACGGCGGCGGCGCCCCCGGCGACCCGTCGCTGGCCGAGCGTCTCGCCAACAGCAAGAAGAGCCTGGACGAGCTGGACCGCGAGGTGGCGGCGCTGAGCGTCAAGCGCATCAACGAGAAGGTGTGGAGTGCCAGAGGGGACCTGCCGGCGTGGATAGCATTGTCGCTCTTTTATTGTTGCTACGACAGTGATTGATCGTTCAGGTGCTTCCTTGCCACTCGTTTATTTCTACGACCGCGGTGATCGATCTGTCACGCTCTTGTCACTTTTATTGCTGCCACTGCTCTGATTCCCGTCTGCAGCAATGGATGTTGTTGCTCTGCCCTTTGCTACCCACTGTGTAGGCCCTCGGCCAATAATACCTCTCACACAAAGTAGTATTCAGGCTCAACCTTGCTCATCTTCCCAGATGGGTGATTTTTATCAGAGGCCATGTACGGACTTTATGTGGTCCTCCACGTGCATAGTCACCGGTGCTTGTGCAGGTTGTGGGAGCTGTTTGACCATACTTCACCACGCTGGTCATGACGATCTCCCTCAACCGAATCGTCTCTCCCCGGCGCCCCACAGACGTGCGGCGCCCCCGGCGACCTGCCGTGCTCCGAGTCGCGCTGCGGGGGCGGTGGCTGCCGGGACAACGCTGGCCGGCCGGCGTGCGGTGGCCCCGGTTGTGGCGGGTCCCTGACGCTGGCGCAGGACTCGCTGGCGCGCGCCCGCAACGCCGAGCTCGAGGTCGAGAGGGCGTCGGCAGAGCTCGACAAGATGGCCGCTAAGGTGAGGCCCGTAAACTCCGGGGGGACCCTGGTGCCCTTGTGTTTCCGGCGAATGTTTCCGTTTCCAGTTATATTTTTTTCCGCATGTTTTTGTTTGTTTTGCTGTCGACGTCTCGCTGCATGACGAACAATCCATTCGGATCTGTCGCAGAGCGGCGCGGCCTTTCGTGTCGGGGAACAGCGGAAGGAGTTGCACTGCCCTGCGAGAGTTCCGAGTTGATAATTCGTGTCGTGACCTGCAGCTGACGGGCACGATCAGGATGAAATTGGTGCGGGGAGAGGGTGTTACAATCTTTTATTTTATTTTATTCTCAATCAGCCCTCAGAACTAAACACGAAGGGAATTTGGTCCTGGGGCGGCGGGGCCCCGCTGTTTGTGAGTGGCACACATGAGCAAACTAGACTCTTGCCCTAACCCTAACCTGGTGTAACCAGTCAACCAGCCTGCTACACTCTCCCTGACCTGAACGAAATGATCAACCAGCGCCGAGTATCAACCGTTGTTTACCTTCTTGCTCGGCACCGTACTCACTTGTATAAGTCACAGATGATAACACTTGGGATGGTCCGTGACAATGACAACGACTTGATAGAGAAACCCTGGAGGTACAGCAACAACACAGCGCAGCCTTGTTGTCGTTCTCACCGCGACTCCGTGCCAAACATCGTCCCCAAAAACGCGGGAATGTACCTCCATGCTCCCGAACACGACTCGCGCCGTGTACGTGTTTCTACACACGAGTCACCAAGGCCTTTGCACTACCTCCTGGCAGACATCCTGATCGCGTGGCGCTGGCCTCACCACACCTCCGTGTGCAGTGCTGGCCTCCAATAGTTGCCCCGTTAACAGCACTCGCCCGATCCCTGCGTCGGGGATGAAGGTGACCGTCTCCCTCTCTTGCTCTCTCTCCATCTCTGATTAGCACGGTGGGCTACGTACGGTGCAAAAGAAGTTCAACATACATCCAGTACATCTCTCTTTCTGCGCGTGTCTGTGCCCACCCGCGTGGGGGGCAGGTGGCCGAAGTGAAGCGCGCGGCGAGCGACATGCGCGACAAGGCGCAGCGCTCGCTCGACCGGGCGCAGCAGAGCAAAGCCGGGATGGAGCACGCCGTGGCCGAGCTGCGGGACCTCATCGCCCGGATCAAGGAGTTCCTCAACGGTGGGCATCGCCCACAATCCACCCCCGCCCACCATCCCCAACTCTTCTCCCCCGCCCCCCGATGCACTGAGACTTGGCCCAGCTCACACCACTCTGCTACAGAGCCAATATTTATCACCAAATCACCTGAATTGCCTCCAATTTGTATGTACTGTCTGTTGAACTATTTTCGCACCGCACGTAGCCAACCGTGCTAATTGGAGGTGCGGGGAAGGACAACAAATTAAACGCAAAATTCAGTTCTAAACAAATTAGTTTTCCACTTAGATTTAAAAGTGCATAGCTCCAGTGGCTTCCTAATATCGGAAGAAAGAGCATTCCAGATTGCTGCATTGCACGTGTAGTGGAGTAACGCACGCGGGGGTTTGCAAACTGTGTGCACGCATGTGTGAGCTGCGGCCAGTGAGGTCACGCCAGGGCGAACAGGTGCAGAGAGGGAGAGCAACCGGAGAGAGGCGACCAATTAAGATGCATAGCGGTGATTGGCTGGCTGCAAATGGAAACGCGGAGTAGGCGCCACGAAGGCGAGAGATAGTGGCGATGAGGGGGAGAACACGTCCGAGAGGCGTCGGGATGAGGCAGGCTTAATGAGGGCCATTTAATGAGGAGGATGATGAAAGGGGAACTTGTGAGGCAGAGGAGTTGAGTTGGTTGGAGTGAAGACAAGAGAGAGTTACAAGATAATTCACGGGCCCCGCTCTCCACACCTCGTCCTCTCCAGCGGTGCTGGCTGTTCCCCCGCTGGAGGCACGGGCGAGGTTGGATGAGCGAGGGTAGTCAGGCTAGCAGTGGAGAGGCTAGCGGAATCTTAAGTGTGAGTGTGATAAGGCTGGCAGTAGAGAAGCTAGTAGCGTGTACAGTAAGAGGCTAGCAGTTGAGAAGCTAGCAGAGGGTATAGTAAGATGCGAACAGTAGAGAAGCTAGCAGAGTGTATAGTAAGAGGCTAGCAGTGGAGAAGCTAGCAGAGTGCAACATAGCAGGCTAGTGGAGCGAGCGGAACGCAGAAGACGAGCAGGACAAGAGGAAGAGTTGCGACGGAGACGCGTGGTGTTGAACGCGGGGAGTTCTGTACGAATAAAGGGGAGAAAAAGAAGTCGTCGGTGTGAAATAACACCACTACACACGCATCTGAATGCGCGCAATGCGGTAACCGTCTTTGTTCGATGGCTAGTCAAAAGCCGCTGCTGCGAGGATGACCGGAGTTCCCGTGATGGTTTATGCTTCTTGACGAGATAGCAAGGTATTGTGGCTCATTTATGGCAAGCACTTTTGCGTGTAATGAGTGCGCGATGTTGCTTGGATGGGCGACCCGCGGCAAGTGGCATCGGCCCTGTCAGCCAGTGGAGCACACCCAGCTGAACGCTTTGGAGGGAACAGATCGTGTTGGGAGATAAAATGTATTGCATATAGAATACGTGTCGTTATGTCATATTAAATGAATGTAAACTGAAACAAACGTCATTAAGTATCAATCACTTGCTCCCAAATTAATTTCTGAAAGTCTCAAAAATGGTCCATGATGTTCTCCAGCCATGACAAAAAAAAGAATCCAAAGTGCCATGAATTAAATGGAACTTGCTGTCCCAATTTTCCACCCTCATCGCCAACGAATCGTGGGCCTCGGTCCAATTGCACCGCCTGCACACTGAATAGCAATGTCACTAACGGGGGTGGGGTGGCGGTGTTTTACGGTTGCGCAGAGGAGGGCGCGGACCCAGAGAGCATCATGTTGGTGGCAAACAACGTCCTCAAGCTAGGGCTGCCCGTGACGCCCGGGGAGGCCGAGGCGCTGGCTCAGCAGATTCGCGACAGCGTGGCACGCCTCTCCGACGTCGACGCCATCCTGGCGCAGACGGCCAAAAACATGACCCTTGCCCAGCGCCTGCTCGCCGACGCCAAAAAAGCCAAGTAAGACGCGTGATCTAACGTCGGTGGTGATTTTTTTTTTCAATCTAAATCAAGTCCTGGGCCACCCCCCCCCCCCCCCCCCCCAAGTCCACTCGAGCACCTAGTCCAGTGTGTAAACATCACTACTGGGGAGGCAAAGGCAGCTGGACGCGGTGTCTGGCGCCACCACCCCATCGAGCTCCATGGCAGCTTTAATGGCTGATCGCTAACAGCACTTGATTCGACAGCCTGCGGAGGCTATGAAGGGATCTTTGTATTTGGGGTGGGGGAGCGTAGTGGTTAGCGCACTGTGCTACGAAGCTGGGTGACCCCAGTTCCATTTCCTCCATCGGGCTAAGATCAGTGGCAATTATCTGAACAGGTCCTGGGCCTCCCCTATGTTGACTCAGCCCCAATAACGAGTAACTAATGCAAATAAATCTACATTGGGGAGTCAAAGACAGCTGGTTCTAGCCACATATCCACATCTTGCTTGCGCACAGCAATTACCCCAACAGCCTATAGAGGCTACACGGAGCGGGATCGTTCTTTGTCTCTGTGCTTGCACAGGGCGGATGCTGAGGCGGTGAAGCAGAAGACCGAGGAAGTCGTGCAAGCACTGCAGGAGGCCAACGACGCTCAGAGCGCGGCTCGCAAGGCCATCAACAACGCCCAACGCGATATTGACTCGGCAAAGGACCGCATCGATGAGGTAACGGGGGGGAGCGGAGAGGGGGAAGTGGGTGGGGGAGGGAGGCACGGCATAGCACGTGGTACTTGGCCAGGATTGATTCAGCCTAGTGACCACCTTCAGCTGCTGTCGGCTGTTCCAAGGCCAAATGTCAGTGGCATAAAAATGTCTTGAGTGTAATGTAAGTTGGCGTGAAGTACAGGGATATTTCACTTCAGGAGTGTTATGCAACTGGCCTTTGACACTCACAGTAGACATTTAATTTGTGCAGTGTTCGGTTTATTTTAAACCCCGAATATGATACTGCTGAAGGCTCATCCTCCCTACTAACGTCTTCCAGTCTTTTCTATTATAGCTTCAAAAGTGCTGCTTGTTGCTGGCTGCTTGACAGTTTGGGCCTGTGCTCAGCAACCGTGACATTCAACAAAACCCTTCCACGGGCCGTTCTCTAGAGCGGGGTGATGCAGCGCTTTGCGAGAGTAGCGGCCACCTCCACGCGACTTGAACAGTCGCTTCCGACGTCGTCGTCGTCGTCGTCATTGTTATCGCTGAACAACGATGACCGAGGGCGGCCATGTCCCTCGCAGGCAGGCAAGAAGGCTGGGGACGCGGGAGCGATATTGATGGATGCCATGGATCGTCTCACCAAGATGGCCGCCGACGTCCAAGCGCTCAAGGAGAAGGCCGCAGCCAATCAGCTGGCGGCCAAGGATGCCGCGACGCAGGCCGCCCGGGCGCGCGACAACGCCGACGTCGCCGCAGATGTACGTGACGAACGCGCAAACTGACCCCTGCCTAAGTTCCCACGGACGAAGTTAAAAAAAAAAGTGTTGGGACGGTGTATTGCATAATGACTGGTGTGAGAGCTAGAGCGAAATGCACGATAGGCAAACGCAGATCGTGTGTGGCTACTCGTTCTGTTCAGCGTTTCACTCGTGTTGCTCTGCTGCAGAGCAGCAACCTCGCCTCGTGATGAACCACAGCCATAGAACCGGTATCACCTCGCATCCCCGGTAATGCCCTGCTCATCGCCACTGTGCGTGCGTGCATGCATGCGTGTGTGCAGGAGCTGCAAGAAGTGAAGGATAAATTTAAAGACATGCAAGGGCTGATGGATTCGCGGTACAATGGCAGCGACAAGGCCAGGGAGCGCGCCGAAAAGCTGCGCGACCAGGCATCTCAGCTGCTCCAGGACGTGCAGGACAAGATGAAGCGGCTTAATGGTAAAGACACGAGTACAGTCACACAAAGGCAAAGATCCCTCGTATATCCTTTTATAAAACTGTTGAGGCAAGTGCACACACGATGGGGTGGGTGGCCAGCACCATGCCCGGCGACCTTTGTTTCCCTCGTGGCAATGTTTTTCCACATCTTACAACGTGCTCAATTGAGGTTGAGTCGACCTAAATGAGGCACAGGACACTGGTGTTGGTCATGAGCGGGAATTGAAGTTGGTTCGCCGAGTTCGTCGCGGAGAGCGCTAACCATTACACTACCGCTCCCCACACCATCACCATGACAACAATGTGACTACAACCACACCAACAACAACGACCGTCGTATGCCACTAAGTGGTGGTGGCATCACCACAACGCCAGTGCCAGGCCAGGTGTATTTTGAGGCCATGTGAAGTGTCAAAGGCTTCCTGACAGGTCATGGGACAGATCCAGATATCATGGGTTGACTGACTGAGATGACTGGCAGATGCACCACCGGTGCTCCCTTCCGCATTTTAGCCACCTGGCGCTCCACTCGCTGTTGTGAGCGTCGCTCCTCTACCATCTATTGTTGTTAGAGGGCGACTGCTTCCAACTGCCCAGTAGCGTCCTTCACTTTCCTCTTCCATGGAGGCCGATTTTGACACCACTTGTACCAGTCTTTGGTAGCCTATGCAGCGCCCATTTAGCCCCCTCTGTCCAGTCAAACAGAAGCTGCTTGCATGGCTGGACATGCACGCTACATGACCCAGCCAACGCAGCTTTGCCTGCCAGAGGAGCTCGCCGATGGGACTGTGTCCAGATCTTTCCAGGATCTGTGAGCTCCTCTCACAATCCAGCCTGGCTAAACTCAGGATGGGTCATAGGTAAGCCAGCTTGATCGTGTCACAGATGTTCCATTACAGGGGTCGATGTTTCGCAAGTGTATAGAAGGAAGGGAATAATTTTGGCCAAGACCCAAGACGTCGTGTGGAGCGACAGGCCAGGTAGCTTCCACACCTTGGAGCTGAATAAAATATATATTGCTGCTCGACTGATTCAGAGTGAAACCTCTTCTGCCAACCTGGATCTGGCCATAGTACACTGCGCAGGTATGGAAACATCTCCACTCTTTCCACAACTGCCCCATCTGCGTCATGGGATTTGGCCAGTGGATGCAATAGATGGCCTGTCCCCCCGAGAAGGAGCAAATGCACACTCATGCCCTCATCTCACTCCGTGCCCTCCCTCTCTCTGCAGACTTGGAGAAGCTGCTGGAATCGCAGGCAGACAAACTGGTGGATGCCACCGGCAAGCTGGATGGCCTGGAGGAAAGAGCCTCCAAACTGCAGATGGAAATCAGCAAAAGGGTGCAGCACTACTTTGCGTGCCAGAACTGAGTGCGCAAGTCCAATGACAACGACATCATCACCCCTGGCTCTCTCAAAGTAAGGGAGACAGGACAGAGGAACCGCCCCCCACCCCTCCTTCAGCTGTGCGTGTCACGCCATGAGGCCCGTGGGCTTGCAAAATTACATTCAGCACTTAGGTCGGAGTTTGGACTCTTCCATCCTTTCAACACCCAAAGAGAGTGGTGTAGTGTGGTTGGCATAGGCCGATTCAAGGAATGAAATGGACTCACTCCCGTCTGTAAAAATTTTACCCCCCTCTGTTCATAACCCGGCAACTGGGCCTCTCTGGCCCGTGAATCCTGGTGCTCTTGCACCATCTGCACACTCGATAGCTAGAACCGCTAGTCTCTGGGTCTCCACGTAAATATTTGGGTCTCTGTGTAATCTGTGGATTTATCTGTGAGTCGGTGATGGCTGAGCTGAGACCATTAACTCGCAATGCCTGAGAATATGGTTTAATCAGAACTCAAGCTATGCGTGTCTGTGGATGTCCGTGCGAGTTTCTATGGCAGTGCAATGAATTAAAAGGTGGGCGCTGCCCCACCTGGCAAATTGCCACCTGTCTCTTAACCTGGGCTCCATTTGGTCTGTTGGCATGACGCAGCTGCACCGCCTGTGCACTCTGTAGCTAAGCCATAGACCCACGATGTATATCTCCGCTACTGTTTGTTTAGTTTTGCCTTATCGCTGTGATACAGTTTCCAGGTTTCCAATTCCATTTTTTCTTCTTAGAATAAGTGTCAATTGTTATTCTCAGAAAGGTTGTTTGGAAAATCGATACGGTGAATACAAATGTACACGTCCTTCCCAAACATCTATCCTACTCACATACGGGGGGAATTATGTACACGTAACTGATATTTTTTTTCACAAACGCATTTAGGATGCATTCAATGAGTGTTGTGGTGCACTCCAGGTGATTTGGCCCACGGAATTCATAATATAATAATGGTAATACACACTGAGTAACCAATTTAACAAGAAAACAATTCACATTTTAAGCCACTTCATCATAAATGCATTTATTCAAATATGCTTTATTTTCATATATATCTGTGTTAATATATGTTTCAAACAACATGTAAAAACGTGTAAAAAAATAACTTGGCCCTAAGACAAGAGGACCACAATGCAGTCACTCAGGAACTGATGACGGATTTTGCATGATGCACAAAAGCGGAGTTCTTTTTCTAATCGTTGCTGTGCGTTGTTTGAAACTCATGATTTTCCATCCGATACTATTTTTATGTTATGATGGGTTTCTCATCATTTACAGATTTGGTTAATCTCTACGCTCATCTTCAGTGGGATATTTTTTTGAGGAGGACAATAATAATACCCAAGAAGTATTCATTGAGTATCAAGACTCTTTTCCGTAAGAGTCCTGCATGGGGATGTTTGACCGATACAATTGTTAATGTTTGGCCATTATCATGATTACAAAAAAGTATCTGACATGTGTGAGAAAACGTATCAATTTTCCTGACTATTTATACTGAAATAAAGAGCACTTATCTGAACAAGAAATTCAAATGAAGACCCAGTGATAGCCATGCTGTCGTCCGCTTTTGGATATCTTGCCACTTTTTCAATCGTGTTTGTTAACCTGACATTTGGAAGTACCTAAAGTTCACTCTCAATTATCCGTGGGCAGATTATCCAGGTTGAGGTTTTAAGCTTGCTATTTTCAATTACACTCTGGTTTAAGTATTAACTGCCCCCTCACTCATCCCAGGGTCAGTGACTAAGTGCCCAATTGTGACCGCAAAAATGTTGCCAAGTAAACTACTGACTTTAAGATGCAATAAAAACAGAGGACACTTAGCACTCCTTCACCCCTATCTTGCATATGGCCCAGCCATCGCGCGGTCGCCGTTTGTTGCAGAGGTTTAAGGTTCGAATCCAGCGGCCGCCCTGATTATTACTGCGTTGGGTAATGACGATAATAATACTACGCGCCGTCTGCTTCGCTCGCAGTGCATGTTAAAGATCACCCAACGTCATTAGCAAGAGTAGGCCATTGTGTAGACTGCTGTGTGCTGCCAAACATGGCATTTTAAACAAATGACAAGTTTCTTAAATCCCCCTCTTCCCACCTCGGTTCACCCAACAGTATAAATTGGTTCACGACAATTAGTTTATCGGCAGATCACATGCGGTGGGGCAAAGTGTGTGGGTACGTCCGCCTCTCCCAAAACATCTGGAGAGCATGGAAAAGTAGGCCAAGTACCACCTAGAGGGGCACTCTGGAGCTCTCTCTAGAGGAGGCCCTTCCGCCAGCTGTGGCATGAGCAAACAATTGCAGGGATACACCTTTTAAAATCCCTTCCTCCTATTACCCCGGATAATCGAGAGTTAACTCTACAGAACGTCAGAGTTAAGATGAAAGCTTTCCGCCAGACCCACTTTCCCAGGAACTTTGTGACCAGTGGTGCTGAATTTGTAATGGAGCTTACGATCTTCCTTGGTGCTCCCATAAACACGGTCCTCCCAATAAACATGCAACTTTGAGCCAACGTTTGCATGTTTACTGGGCTGTATGCTTAAGTACAGAAATGCATAGGAAGTTAGTACACTTTCCTAACATTGTTACTTCATTAGAGTTAAATATGCAATAAGGGCTATTTCAGGGGATATTTCCATCTTATGAGTGCGTTTTGTACCGGTAAGGCAATTTGTCATTCCCGCAATGGATCAGGCCTTGCTGTTAAGGTTGTATATGTGCACTAAACTTTGCAATTGTGTAAAATTCACTACGTGTCAGGAATACGACGTCAAAATCCACTGGGTCTCACTTTGAATTGTGGAATGTGAGGCCAAGACACGGCTTGCCCAGATGTTGCCCAATGTCAGGTCCTGTAATATTACTGTTTTGTAAGCAGTAATACAGAAGACCTGTAAAACCATGTATCCAATTTCTTATGATTGAAAACAAGTATTGGGAGACTAATTGGTCTAAAACTGAATTGTTACTTTTTCAAAATATTTAGCCGAGTCTTAACACCATTTGTCACAAGAGTCCTGCTACATTGGAGTGGTTGACCCATTATATTAAAAATGTTTGCCTTTGTGTGCGAGGAAACCAACGAAAACCCAGAGAAAACCCATGTATACTAGAGATTGACACGCAATGCTGCCTTTTTTTGCCACCTCGCAGCCCCATCTCTACAACAGCTGGCAAGCACTGATGTCACTCATCCATGCATCCAAAATCTGACATGAACTGGCACATTTAGGGTGATTTGGTCTTCGGCAACCACACTAGAGTACTTGGGCATAATCTGCAACTGCTGAGAAATGACCATTGTTTTTAAATGACTGTACCCTACCGTGATAGAATAACTACGTCTATGGAGCCAAAACCATTTAAAAAGTGACCCTGTACCACCAAGTTTCCGAGATTCCACTGGACATCTGTGAAAAGGAGCTTTATAGCTCATCGGATTCTTCCAGTATAAATAAATATGATTCCTCCTGACCCACTACATTTGTTTAATCTTCTGCATTCAAATTAAGTCGTTACTCACTGCAAGCACCTGCTTGTTTGTAAACATGTTCCACATAACGTAGAGAGTGCTGATTAAAATCCAGATAATTTCTCATTAATAATTATTCACATCCTTTTATCAATCTTCGGCTGGATGAACGGTTCCCCATGCCATGTTGGTCATGGAGGTTTTTTGTTATTAAATACTAAACTCCACCAGGCTGGTCGTCGCGGGTTTGTGAAGGTGGGTGCCCAGTACCGATTTGAATAACAATGGCCAGCGCTGTTAGTCATGGCCAGAAATCAAACTCAGGTCGTCTGGTTCACAGCGCAGTGCGTTAAATTCTGAAATACCCCCCCCTCTCACCCAATGAAGATGGATGATATTAATTTGAATCGGTGGTTTCTACTCGTTTACCAGCGAAATGCGTTTCCCAATCATCAGGTACATGCAGCGTGAAACAGTTTGTGTTGAAGCAGAGCACATTGGATTTTGAGTTGGGGGGGGGGGGAAGCTGCCTTATTTTTAGCTCGTCAGAATGACTGCTTTTGAACGTTTCTGGTGATTCTGAAAATGACTGAAGTGCAGTAGTTGTTTTTGTTTGACCCGACGAGAAGTACACACAAGTATCTGCAATGCGCAGGTGGGTGTCCATGGTGACGGTACTAATGTATGTATGTATGCATCAACCCTCGCACTGTGTGGCGTTATTGGTGATATATAGCACTGGGATTACAGTCTGTTATAAAGGCTAAAGTTGAATAAATGTAATAAAACTTTTTTTTTATGTTTCATAAAAGACTTCATGTGCGGGTGATGCTTTTATATGTTTTGGAATTGTGTGCATCTTGGATGAGTTGAGGAAAATGTCAATTGTAGAGATTTTGTGCACCATAAACCTACCATCATATCACACACCCACGGTCAATCCACTGCTGGATGAAGTCCTTGCCAAACAAGCCACCATCTCTTGTGATCCTGCGATTTTTAATAATTGATATTCTGCTCATGAGCTGATTTCATCGCTCCGTCTCTTCAGTGGACATTCTCTCGGATGAATTCCTCTCGTTCGCCAGCATCCGCTGGGTCATTAGTCTTGACCATCAGCCACCATCGATTCAAGCGATGCGTCCCACCCAAGCCCCCAACATACGTTTCTTTACAGTCAATAGAAGTTCTTAAATTGTATATATAATGTGCATGCCATTAGAACATCCTATTATCCATGCCCAGCCGCAAAAAATATACTGATATCCATTCAGTTATTCCATGGATCGATGCGAATGATGAATTTGCCTGCCACGTCCGGGTCACTCATGATATTTTGGAGGGGGGAAAAACATAATAATCCATCGGTGTACCGAGTTTTTCGCAGATTAGGGCCATGGAAAATTTGAGACGTGGATAGGCACCCACGAACAATTCGAGTTTCACTCCCGAAAAATACAGTACTCATGAAGCCAAGCCAGATGTTAACTTTTGGAATGACTGGATAAGTATCCCAGGAAGCATGCAACTTTGACCCAACGTTGGTCTAACGCTCAACCAACATTTGCCCCATGTCCAAACAAACATTGGCTCAACGACTGCATGTTTAAATTTCGATTTAAAGCTTTCGTGACTGCAATGATTCATCTTCTTTGGTTCTTTCGGTAAAGTAACGTAGAATGAGAATAAGATAATAAATTGATAAAATAAAATAACACAATAATATTCTCACGACGTTTCGGCCACAACACAAGCGGCCTTCATCAGGTGAAGGGAGCGAGACTGTCTGGTAGGACAGCGCTGGAGTGAGAGAGCCACGTTCAGATCACGGCTTTTAAGCTGTGTGAGAGGAACAAAGAGCCTTGACGAAGGAATTAGCATAAATTAGCATAAAATTTAGCAGTTGTGTATGCTTTAACTTTTAACATAGCTATTTCTGTGACCAGTCACAAGCTAATCATTCAGCCTTTTCAATGCTAAATTTTATGCTAATTCCTTCGTCAAGGCTCTTTGTTCCTCTCACACAGCTTAAAAGCCGTGATCTGAACGTGGCTCTCTCACTCCAGCGCTGTCCTACCAGACAGTCTCGCTCCCTTCACCTGATGAAGGCCGCTTGTGTTGTGGCCGAAACGTCGTGAGAATATTATTGTGTTATTTTATTTTATCAATTTATTATCTTATTCTCATTCTACGTGACTTTACCGAAAGAACCAAAGAAGACTGCATGTTTCCTGGAGTCTTGTCAACTCGGGACATGACAATGCACATTGTACTACTTCAAGTGTCTATGAAAAGAGGACTTTAATCCTAAACGGGTCCTCACATGTTCATCATCGTATCTATGATTCGTAGCAATATTCTATCTACTGATGGGTTAAAGTCTACTGTCACCATAACGATACGTATAACGGCATTGTCTGTAAACAATGTAAAACCCAAATGCCTGCGGGTGTTCTTTAAAATGTTTTAAAGCATAACAGGCACGTGGAGTACTGCATTATGAATTACGTAAAGATGCACTTCAGCTTTCGTACGGCTGAGGTAGACGCAGAGCAACACTTACAATATCACATTCAGGTGGTCAAGACAGAGTGCATCGCAGTGATGTCTCCTTCGTTTTTTGTGGATCAGCCAGTCGTTGAACCGATGTTGTTACGGCCTGTTCTGGATGACCACCACAGTCGCACACTCCTGGAGAGTTCTTCTTTGGTTCCTTTCGGTAAAGTCACGTAGAATGAGAATAAAATAATAAAATAACACAATAAAATTCTCACGACGTTTCGGCCACAACACAAGCGGCCGTCTTTAGGTGAAAGGAACAGACCTGCCGGGACGACAGAGCTTCAATGAACGATGTTAAGATTCGTAGCGACTTTTAAGCTGGTTGGGAGAAGTGATGCACCTTGACAAAGGGGGTTTACATATCAAATAGCTGAGGGATTAGCTTGTGACTGGTCACAGGAATGGCTATGTTAAAGTCAAAATCTACACATCCACAGAGGCAACTAGTAATTTAGCATTGAAATAGCTAAGGGATTAGCTTGTGCAAATAGCTGAGGGATTAGCTTGTGACTGGTCACGGAAATGGCTATGTTAAAGTCAAAACCTACACATCCACAGAGGCAACTAGTAATTTAGCATTGAAATAGCTAAGGGATTAGCTTGTGACTGGTCACAGAAATAGATGTTAAAGTAAAGGCCTACACATCCACAGAGCTTCAATGAACGCTGTTAAGATTCGTAGCGACTTTAAGCTGGTTGGGAGAAGTGAGGCACCTTGACAAAGGGGTTTACATATCAAATAGCTGAGGGATTAGCTTGTGACTGGTCACAGAAATGGCTATGTTAAAGTCAAAACCTACACATACACAGAGGCAACTCGTAATTTAGCATTATTGTGTTACTTTATTATTTTATTCTCATTCTACGTGACTTTACCGAAAGAACCAAAGAAGATGAATCCTTGCAGTCACGAAAGCTTTAAATCCTGGAGAGTTGTTGTTTTAAATTTTTCCATTTGGGTCATCCGTCATGGGTTTTTTGCAGATGCGGTTTAAGGTGGACCATGATCTTCGTGAAAGATCAAAGATGCACTCATGTCCTGCAATACTTTCTTTCGTGTTTTAAAGTGGCTACGAATGTTGGGTTCATGGGTCACGCTTTTTTTTTAAGTGGCGGTATATTTTTTGGGTGGTAATGTTTCATCTGTATAATCCCAAAGTCGACAATACATTTGGTTGTGTAAATTACAACTTTACCCATTGTTTTTTTAAATCGTCAGCCGCTATTTATCCACTGCTGGATGGCTGCCCCACATTCGTCTTTGCCAGTCTATAAATCCACCGCAATTGGTAACATTCCTATTAACCCATACTACGTTTTACCCCTATTCTTGTACAGGGAAATTGAGTTTTCAGGTCCATACGGCGTACAGCCGTTTCCATACGGGCAGAAATATTTAAAAAAAAATTTCTTCCTTGTGATGGGACTTTGTAGGATGAACGTCGAGGGTTATAAGGGGCACGGGGTGACCAATAAGGTCTGAATTGGTCTAATAAGGGCACTGATAAGGGGTTGACAGGAATGTTTTAAAATACGGCGACGTTGCGGGCGAATTATATGCGAGAGGACCAATACCCGAAACGTCGCCTTATATATTTTATGGTATAGTTGCTGGCGTTTTTTTTCAATTTGTGGTCAAATATTAAGGTGAATATTTTTATCCACAAATATGGTGTCTGGGTTGCGCAATATTATTTATTTTTTCGGGCACGTCATTTGGAGTAATGGGGAGTTTAGACGGCAGGATCTTTAACAATATAATTACTGTACGGCATTGCCGAGGAAGGGGGTGGGGGGTGTGGTTGGTGGTGAAGAGGTGCAATTATAATGTAATTAATGTGCAAGGCGCGCGCGTGTGAACGGTGACTTTTTTCATATCGCGGGAAAATTTGTTGTCATTTTATTTCGCTTTATGAGTCGCGAATCTCGCTCGCGCAGTGTGGCGGCGGGCGCCTTTAGAGCCCTGCAAAATGGCGGCCTCGCCCACACCCCCCTCGCCCCCCCCCTCGCCCACCCCCCCCTCGCCCACACCCACCCCCCGCCACGGCGCTCTGGCGGCAAAATCGCGCCTCGCGGTGCCCGCTAAAGCCACCGGGCCGCCGTCACTAGCGCCTCCACGGCGTGTGCCCCCACGTAATGCGAAAATGTTGCGGCGCGTTGTTCTGCATCGCTCGGAGGCGTTTCTCGCGGGGCGGATATTGGTGTTGTTTTTGTTTGTCGCACGGACAGCGCGAATCCGCGAGGTCGCCTTTGCGCGGCTTCTCAATTTGGCGGGAAAAGGCGCAAACGATGTGGAGGGGAGGGGTCCTACTTCGGGGGCTTACGGCACCAAAACAAATATATAGCTGGCCCGTGTTCTGCGCATTTAAATACGCCATCAAATTACAAGACGGCCTGCCGCGCCTCAGAAACGTCGGCAATTTATTTCGCATGCCCAACGCGCTCAAATTTGCGTCTCTCCGCCAACATGACGTGATAAACCATTTAATCGCTTTCCTGTGCAGGCGGCAACGGACACCCCCCCCAAGCCCCCCACCCCCCCAAGCCCCCCACCCCCCCAAGCCCCCCACCCCCCCCAAGCCCCCCACCCCCCCCCCCAAGCCCCCACCCCCCCCCAAGTCCCCCACCCCCCCCAAGTCCCCCTCCCCCCCCCCACCTCCCTCCCACTTCCCCCCACCTCCCCCCCACCTCCCCCCACTTCCCCCCACCTCCCCCCCACCTCCCCCCAACCTCCCCCCCCCCAACGAAGCCGGGCGCTTTTTTTGCAAATCGTAGCGCCGATGCGCGGGCGCGGGCGCGCGGGCGGGGCCGCTCCCGCGCCTCCCATTGGCGCCCGAGTCGCCGGCGTCCCCGCCAACGGGCGGCCCGCGGAACCCCGAGCGCAAGCGCGCTGGGAAATGCAATCGCGTTTGGCGTCGCGCGCTGGTCGGCGCCGCCATTTTGCTCCTCCGTCTCTTAAGGGGCTCCCGCGTTAAAGACTCCCCTCGTCCTCTCTTCCCTCAGCACCCGGCGCGCCGTCTTTGTCTCGCCGCCCTCGACCTCATCACGCGAGCTCATTTCTCTCCCCCACCCTCACCCCTCGCGCCGCGCTTATTTATAATTTCGTTAAACGTCCAGCGGCGTTTCCGAGTTTGTCGCTCGGCTCGCCTTGCGCTAGAGCGTGGTTGCGAGCGCTCGCTCGTTTTTTCGGCCGGGGCCTTGGGGGTTGCAGACAGGCAAACTCGCTGGCTGCTCGCGGTTGTTGAGTGTTGCAGGGTTATTATAGAACGCCAGCTGTGAAAAGACGCGAATGGTAATTTCGTCGTCTCGAAATTTAAAGTGCGATTTTTTTTTGTTAAATTAAAAACTGAGGCGTTGCGTCGCGTCGGCGCTGCTGTATAAAGTAGTTAAGGAGGCGAACCAGCGCGGCGCCGTAGCCTTTACAAGTTCGTCGAGGTGGAGGAGTTGAAGGAGGTGGAGGCGGCGGCGGCGGCGGCAGCAGCAGCCATGTCTGTGCACCGCTACTTCGACCCCGAGGATCATGACCTGGACAAGAGTTTCCGACTGACCAAGTTCTCCGAGCTCAAGGGATGAGGGTGCAAGGTCCCCCAGGAGACATTGCTCAAACTCCTGGAGGGACTGGAGCAGGACGGGCCGTACCAGGACGAACACCAACAGTTCATGGGGGCCGTCATGCCTCGTCTTGGTAAAATGAGCCGCTGATGGTTGAGACGTCAATCACCAATCGCGTTCATCATTCACCTGGCGCTAGCAATGAGAGAGACGGGCCCTCGGCAGGCATATCGCCGCGATCACAATCATCATGGGGAGCAACATCGGGCAACGCTATCACTAACCAGTCGTTGCTATTTCACCTGGTACCATAATTTCGATTACGATTACTTTTTTAAAAAAAATCTTTCATTGTGAAATGCGTTGGTGTCTGCCGGTCGAGTCGCCCTTGGAACAAGAGGTTCTTAGCTCAATGGGCTTTAGTCGGGAAATACACTTCTCATCTCTTGACCATGCATAATCACTAGCCACACTTCACTGTGACCCGGAATCCAGAAACCAGGGGTTATCCATTGAAATATAACTATAAATAGCCTGATAGGGCTCGTTCCGGGTGACGTACAGTATGTATTACAGACCCGCACAAACCGGCGTACAGCACATGCACACCACTCTTGCGAAGCAGGTTTGAATTTGGATAATGCTTGGATGTGCCTTACCTGGTATACCTTTGAAAATGTTTCATTTAATATGGGCGATCACCGTGTTTATAACAGGTATTAAGGGCAGCGAGCCTAAAATGTGGGCACTGCAGAAAAATAAATCAATTGCACTTATTGTGTGGTCACGTCCATGGTCACCGCGTGCACTTACCCGCATTAATCGGGGGTGGTGAAGTATGGACAAATAAATTCCACAAGCGCACGGCGTGGGAGGCCATCCAGCGGTTGACGAATTAAGAGGGCTGTACATGTAAATACGTATTACCAAAAACCACCACCAGTCGCGACAATCGCCAACATGTTCCATCACTATACGGTGTTTTTCGCTAGAATATATTACAGTACTACCAGGCGACTACCATCGCAAGGCACAATCGTCGCCAGATTATCGCGCCAAGAACCGTCAACCACGTGGCTGGCGCTTTCCAACGCTTGCATTCGCATCCTTAAATCGCTTGCCTTCGCTAGTTTGATGGGTTTTACACGTGTGGTGTGCGAGTATGAGCTGGCTTTTCGGTAGACGCTGCAACCAACTAATCGATATTGATTATGTAAGGGAATATATACGTGCGCCTTGCTTTGCATCTTGCTTCGTAGCTTCAGGGATAATACTGTAATGGACCGCGTGTGTTCGTTGTCGAGTGGTGGGAGACCACGTGCGTGGTGGCCGTTTTGTATTGTCATTGTGCGGTGCTACTGTACTCGGAAGGGCGGCCTAGACCTCCCCGTGGTTAATGTGTGCGCATGCACTTGAATTGAATTATACTGTTCGGCTTTTGAGTGGAGTTTAAATGGTGCCTTCGTGAACTGCTGGGTGTGTATACAGTAAATCCTTTAAAAAAAATAAAAGGGGTCACCAGGTAAAAAAAAAACCCCATTGATCCTAAATATCTTATGTAGCCATACCTAGATGCATACATTTGGGGGGGTACACGTATACTCTATATATGAGCGGTTCACGCGCACTCGTCCCCGCCTGTTATCAAGTCACCCGGGATAAAGCAAGTTGACCTATGATGGCACGAGAATGTGACCCACCGTGCACACACAGGTCGCAACAGTGCTTTGCCTGCTACGTGGTAGTGGGCTTTATAGGGCAATGGAGCATCCATTGTTTTCGCTGTACAGTACGTACGGTGTATATAATAATTTACATGTATCAGTAAGGCACCTTCCATGAACACACTGATTGAGTTGTGGTTAAATAGACCCCTCCCCACCACCCTCATCCTGCAGTCGTTCGACAAAATGGACTGTTCACATTGCCTCTGTTTTTGAGTGAATTCTCCCACTGACTGGTGCAAATGATGTGTGTGTGTGCTTTTATATTGTGTATGGTACGGTGTTTTAATGTCCACGAGCTCTATGGTGTTTTAAGGCCCGGACACGGTTTGGTGTACGTCGGTGTACTCTGTGTTTACTGTGTTGTGTGTGCTCCGGTATATTGTATGTTCAGTATACTGTACTGTTATTTATACCTTGGTGAATGTGTTCTGGGGATGGAATGGTGGCGCCTTGGATAGCACACTGTAAACTGAGTCCAATACCCCGCCACGGCTAATATCAGTGGCGATTGATACTAATCCTATGACCCTTTTTCTTGGAGTGGATTGAAAAGGGCTGTTTAGATGGATGTATTCTGGTATGTTAAGTTGTCTATCCCCAGTCTACTGTATTGTGTTTTGTATACGTTTGCGGTGCTGTATGCGCCGCTTGTGTGTGCTGGTTTATTGTATCTGGTTTATTACTGTGAAATATGCGTGCGAGCACATTATGTCTTGTCACCGTGTGATGGTCAAAGATTTTACGAAACGGGGCCATGGACTTCGTAACCTAATTCCAGCTTTATCAGCGCGTGGTGTGTGTGCGGAGTGTGTAACCCCTTGTGTTAGTGCTTTAAGAGGGCCTTTGCGGAGTGTGGGAGCTGCCAGAGCTGATGATGCATTGCAGATGCGGGCGCTATTGCTCTGGTGCTGCTCCGTGAGAGGCCCCTACATCTCAAAAGAACAAATGCTCCCAGGGCAAATAGCTTATTCCCCTAAGGCGCGCTTTAGCAAACAACATTACCCATTTACTGCGTAGAAGTCGCAATAAATTCGCCTAAGCGCATTGCAAAAAACGATTCGGCTATTAGTCGTACAGTTCTCGCACGAAGGATATATGCCAGCAGCCCCTTGGTAGCATATACAGACCTCATCTTGAAGAGGACGTTAAAGATGTAAGTTCATAAACATGAAAAGCTATATAATACTGGCCCTTGAGAGAGTAGCTTGTACAGTCCTCTTTTCAATTCGGTGCTGGATAATGGCCTACCCACATCATGAGGGTTGTTGGAAGTTATTTGACCATATTTCACTATGCTGGTCAGTCAATTTTTGTGATGGCAAAGGAGTAAGGGAGTGCTACAACAATGCATTCTGCTCTACAGCCGTGCTGACCACCACGTAGCAAAGCCTGCAGCCTGCTATATGACAACCTAGTGTGTAAGGTGGTTATGGTCATCGATGGTAGCAATATATAGGCTCGACAACGCTTAGCTTGTGGGATATGACCAGATCACGCACATTTTGTCTGTGCTCTAAGGCTTTTGTAATATATATGAAAATATAATTATTCTGGTTGATTTGGTTATATTCAGCTCATATCAACACAATGAGTTCCATATAAACAAGTGCGTATCCTGACTTTTAAAACGCTATCAGTGCAGTTTTAAGCATTTTTTTTACCTTTAAATCAAACTGTCAAATTGCCAATGACTCAGCGTTGAGCAAATGTTGGATAAACCAGTAGGACCTGTTGCTGAACTGAGAGATGGCAATGACTTGGTGGAAGCCTTCAGTCAGTCCTGAATTGATCATGGCTGATCAAGAACTATTGACCTTTTTACCAACCACTTCACACAAATTGTTGCTTTTCTGATTTTCAATCACGTCCTTTACCCACCATACTTTTGCACTCGTCAAAGGAGCGAATACCTGTAGCTCGCTGTAGCCAAGTCCACCATTTAATATTTCACTTGTTCATCTTGTTTAGTCAGCTGTGCATGTGAGTGAATGTGGTTTTCTTCACAAGAGTGGATTTGGTGGCCGTAGTTACATCGCACTTATATTCCTGTCGTGTATGTGTGTATGGACAGGAATCGGCATGGATGCGTGTGTGATTCCATTGAGGCATGGCGGCCTCTCGCTCGTCCAGACGACGGACTTCTTCTACCCACTTGTGGACGACCCCTACATGATGGTACGACCCTCGCCCCAAGCGCCAGCGCGGTTATATTAACGTACAGTGTAATTATAGCGCTGGCGTAACGTTAATCGATCTTTCTCGCATTGCCCCTGGGGATTATTTTGGCCCCCTGAAAGAACACCACCTAACCTAAGAAAGCATTCAGTGGGGAGCTTTTAGTAATTGAGCGGTCTTGGTCGCTTATCCAGTTCCGTCTTAAACATTGCCACGCGATTGTGTTATCATTAAAATGCATTATTGCGGGGAAAGGTTTACCCCTTGATGTCACGATTGCATGCGCTGATCTGAGCCATCTAATTTCTGTGTCCTCTTTTCATATGCAAATGTATTTCTATTTATGAGATGGGAACCAATGTTTAGTGCATATGTTGAATGGTTAAGGATTGATGTGTTATTCGATGGGTTTTTTTCTTAAAAAAGGAAGCATGGTGGCCAAGTAATGATTGATGATAATATATTGTCACATGCACTACACTTGCACCTAATGGTACGTGTAAAGTAATTGAAAATGTTAGCACATTGTGCAATGTTACCATGAGGTTAATGGAACGAACAAGACGGGACAAAACGTGAGATGTAATACTAAAAAACCTTGAATTGAATCATCAACCGGAATCGTTATAATCACAGGAATGAGAGTTGGTGACTTGTTGTATGCCTAATAGCTTGTATTATATTTAATGTGCAAGCTGAAACATGTGCAAACACAGAATAGAGGTGCATGCTTTGAAGCACATTGCGAGACAGCAAGGTAAACACATGGATCTGAGAACGTATGCAAAGTTTCCAAACAGCATGTTTACTATTAAGCAAAACAAGTGGGCTTGGGCAAGACATTCCCAGAGGGGTGATGACCAGTAGTCAATACTAACGATAGTGGCAACCAAAGAAGGGAACATGGAGCAACGAAATCAGTTTGTATGTAGATGCAAGATGGATTGTTATATCTAGGACCATGAGGAATGGCAACAGCTTGGAAGGGTCATCATCCAGCATGGATTGATCATAGCTGATGATGATTGTGCACAGTGATATGGTCTGCATATGTATGTTAAATCCTAGATTTTGAGCACTGCTTGCTCGTGATTTAATCAAGTGGTGGCAGAAAACTCATTAACATCATGTGTGTACGTGTGTTTGTGGTAGGGGAAGATCGCTTGCGCTAACGTGCTGAGTGACCTGTACGCCATGGGGGTGACGGAGTGTGACAACATGCTCATGCTGCTCGCCATCAGCCAGAAGTTATCCGAGAAGGTTTGTCCATCCATTACATCTTTTTTGCGTAGATTCAATAAAACTCGTATAACAGACGCACTGGCAGGAGTCTGTGCCAAATGTAAGTGGATGCACAGGGGCTCTGTGGCATAAGTGCAGACTTATTAAACAGGCTTCAAAGCTTAATAGTAATTCTAAATTCTGGGCAAGGCTGCAATTATATTTTCAGTTTCACGTACAAGCAAGAGAGTGTTTTTTATTGTGTTTAAGTCACCCTTATTCATAACTTGTGGATCTTGCCACGTTATTTAATACAAAAATATTCTCAATCTTTAACGTAATTTTCTGCATCTACTTGCAAGCAGTTATTTGCAATAGGCGGATAAAATGCAAAGGTAATGTGAAATATTCATTATCATCATTCAGTGCCAGCGTTGCCCAAGGTCGGTGGCGTTACGGCAGTCATTCCCCTTCAAAGATTTCTGTTGCATTGCGGTGTTCGTGTGTCAGGAGCGAGACAAAGTGATACCGCTCATGATTCGGGGGTTCAAAGACGCAGCGGAGGAGGCGGGAACCACGGTGACAGGAGGGCAGACAGTGGTCAACCCCTGGATCGTCATCGGGGGCGTCGCCACCACCGTGTGTCAACCCAACGAGTTCATCATGTGAGCCACCAGCCCTTGCGTGCGTGTTCGTTATTAGTTGTTTGTGCCAACGGGCGTTGGCTTAGAAGACAATGAGGAATTGATGGAATAGACCTGAGCCTTGGATACTTCTATTGCTGTTATTGCTTTCGTTGGAAATGAAGTGTGCACAACTTGTTTAAATTCCTCGGGCACGGCCGTTTTCTGTTTCGCTTCATCAACTTTGTAGTTATTCCTTGCGAAGGCTGTTGTAGGTGTCACTGCAAAGAAATTGGCCTATTCCAATTGATCAATATCTGCACCATATTCACATCGGGCAGAATGCTGTAGTTTTAAGTACGAAAGAGCAATCTGCTTTTGCATCGTGTCATTTGATTTTGTCTGCTGTGGGTGTGCTCAAGGCCCGATAACGCGGTGCCAGGAGATGTGCTCGTGCTGACAAAACCGCTGGGTACCCAGGTGGCCGTCAATGCACATCAATGGCTTGACATGGTAAGTGATGGAAGGCAGCGCTCAAGGGACAGCCCGAGTAACTGGTTGCCAAGTGCTGACCCCTCCTGAATGCTTCATGTTTTTAATGTTATAAGTGGTGTGGTGCCTTGCTGTCAATCATAATGGGGAGTTTCCTGGCTTAAATGTAGACAATCATCTCGGTTGGGAGGGGGAATGGCCAAAACAGGCTTGAATCTCAAATAAGTGGAGATTCACGCCTGTGAGTTGGTATAAATTTAGCATTCATCATTATTAATCCACTTTGGGATGATGGCCTCATTCATGGCTATACATTCCACAGTCTTGCCATGTAATAATCAACCTAGCACTTGCTGTTTCTTCACTCGGGTGTGTTTCTTCCCTTTGCTGTCACTTTGTTAGTCTCGCCCACTGGCCACCATCCCTTCTAGGGACATTTCCTACCCAATCCGCGCTGTGTATTTAACCTGTATATGTTCTCTAATCGTACATTAATATCTGGTGCACTGATAAGCATCAGCACTGGGGAGACAAAGGCAGATGGGTATATTTCTAGCCACACTTCCTCCACATGTGCCTTGTTGCCCTTAATATGTGTTTGCTAAATTACTTTCCCTAATAGACTAGTAAAGGCGACATGGAGGATATTTTTCTTTCTGTGTGCACAGCCTGAGAAGTGGAATAAAATCAAGCTGGTGGTTACACAAGAGGATGTGGAGTTGGCTTACCAGGAGGCTATGTTCAACATGGCACGCCTCAACCGCACAGGTCAGTAGGAAAAATGCTGCATCTGCCTATGACAAGATTTATGGGTGTGCCTGCTGTGATGCATAAATAATCTGCACTTGTTATTATTTAACATTTGTATTATGTGCACAAGCAGGGCCATAGTTGTGATTTTTATGTCACAAACTTGTTAGCTTGATCATCTTTTAGAGAAATAAATATAACTGGGCGTGGTGGCCCATGCCTGTAATACAGAGGCAAGGATTTGTTCAACTGTAAGTTGAGCTACAATGTGGCTAAGAGCTGGTAGTACAGCAAATTCGTTTGTGAAATTAACGCTGGGATCTTTTTAAGTGTTAAACATGGGTTTTCTCTAAATATTACAGTTGCCTCCCACATTCCTAAACACTCGCCATGGTGGCGAGATTTTAGCTTCCTCACCTGGCATGCAGGAGGTCGTCGGTTCAATCTCGACCCTGACACCTGTATATTTGGAGTTTTGCGTGTTCTCCCCATGGTCGCATGGATTGTTCTCCGCGTCCTCCGGTTTTTCCTCTACATTTAGAATCAACATGCATTTAGAGTATTTGGCTGCTATAAATTTACATGTGATTAGCTACTTCATTGATTTATCATTTGAAGCCAGGTCAATTCTGAAAAATAGCTATAAAGCTCAGTGGGCCTTACCTGGTAAAATTTGAAATACATTTTGTTTTGGTTAGAATTGGTAAAATGTCTCAAAGCAGGGACCCTCCTAAAAAGTGGCTTGGGTTTTCTTTGCTTTTCTGGATAAAGAATTATGTTATTGCACTTTTAAGCTGGGATTGTGTATCACACACCGATCATTGTACCCTGTTGTGTTTATACTAACACATTGTTGTATTTCGACGAAACACAATTTGTTGTGTAACTGACAGCATGTGCGTTATAAGTGCCGTCGATTGTCAAGTTGAAATTATTAGACAACTTGAGGCAGGCTTATGTTGAGTGAAATGTAGGTGAAGAACTTTTAGGTCATCTTTATTCATACTGGTAGTAGAAAAAAGCCTAACACGTAAAATTATATGATTCCAAAGTAATCGTTAAATGATATCACAGTAATCATTGTAATTGTGAATATTTTTCGATTGCAAAAAATGATATTGCAGTAATGTTGGTAAAAATCATGGTGCCATGGTAACGCATGTGCCCGATAACATGTTTGTTGAACTTCTTTGGCACCGTACGTAGCCATCTGTGCTAACAAGGAGGGTCTAGGTTCAATTCCCGACTTGGATGCCTTTCTGTGTATTCTGGTTCTCACCTTTTTTCACATTGCTCAAAAAACATAGGATGTAACATCATATTGCTGCATAATTACGTGCACATTACTCAACTGGCATTACACATAGCAACATTGCTCGCTTCCTGTGAAATGTTGGCAGTACTCCTGAAAAAAGAGTGGTACTTATTGAGGCTTTCCTGGCTAAACAAGCGTAATCAGAAATTAATAATACGCTGATGCCATCTCCAACTCCCACAGCCGCTGGACTGATGCACACGTTCAACGCACATGCGGCAACGGACATCACAGGCTTCGGCATCCTCGGTCACGCGCAGAACCTGGCCAAGCAGCAGCGCAATGAGGTGTCCTTTGTCATCCACAACCTCCCCGTCATCGCCAAGATGGCCGCCATCAGCAAGGCCTGCGGCAATCTCTTCGGCCTCCTACAGGGCACATCTGCCGAGACGTCAGGTAAGTGTCTAGACAGAGCGAGCGCCCAGATGCTGTTACTTTTGTATGTGTTTTTTTTTTTTTCTCCTTTACATTTTTGGTTTTTGGTCAGTCGTGATCGTCAGCAACCTGAACTTTAAACTCGGATCTCATCGGTTCAATTCGATCTCCCAGCACGGTAGTTGAACCCACGAACAAGTTACAATTGAAACTACTTCTGACCACCCAGCAGCATAAATGTGTACATCACAGTTTATCGGCAGGTCACTTTTTTGTGGTTAAAGTATCGGTACTCCCACCTCTTCTGAGATGTCTGGCCAGTGTGACAGTAGGCTACATGCGCTCTATCAGGTTTTCTAGCGTTTCCTCTGGTAGAAATCTTTCCATCAGCCACGGCGTGCGAAAGCAATTACAGGGCTACACATTTTACTTCTCATTTGGTGTTAAATGGTTCATACACTGCTATGAACCCGGAGACCTGCATTCCAATCCCAACCATTGGTAACATCACTGAAGAGTGATATCTGAACTGATTGTGGGCCCCTCTTCACCAACCTTGGACATCTATCAAAAAGAGCTTCATATATTCTTTGGTTCTTTCGGTAAAGTCACGTAGATAGAAAAATAATATTAAAAAAGAAAGTGAATAAAACAAATAAAAACAAAAAAACACTAATGTAGAATTTAAGCCTTGTTCTTAATCGGAATGAGTGTACTGGCAATCGATAATATGGACTGTAGCCTGGTTATTAAGTTTGGTTAGTGTACTGGCAGTCTAATATAGACTGTATAGCCTGGTTCTTAACCTCGGTGAGCGAACTTGCAGTCTATAATGTAGACTACATTATTGACTGCCAGTGCGCTCAGACTGGCAGTACGCTCGCTGAGGTTAAGAACCAGGCTACAGTCTACATTATAGACTGCCAGTACACTCACCCAGCTTAACCATTGCTGCAGTCTACATTATAGACTGCCAGTACACTCACCAAACTTAATAACCAGGCTACAGTCCACATAGATTGCCAGTACACTCACTCCGATTAAGGACCAGCGGACCGTCTACATTAGTGTTTTTTTTGTGTTTTTTTATTTTACTATTTTTATTCACTTTATTTTGTATAATTTTTCTATCTATATGACTTTACCGAAAGAACCTAAGAATATGAATTCCTGCAGTCACGAAAGTTTTAAGTCAAAATTTAAGAGCTTCATAGCTCATCGGATTCCTCCAATATAAATAAAATATTCGGAACCTTCACTCAACAGTGTGGTGAAGTATGGTCAACCATCCCTCATGACTAACATAGCTTGAGGGAGGCCTTCCTTCAGTAGTGGATTGACAAACTACATTTTTTGTTTGTGCTACTGGCATCATGTCATGAGATTAAATGTTTATTTTAGGCTCTCACAGCTTGTGCACCATCCTATGTTGGGAAAAGACCCCTGAAGGTGGCATCATAGATGCCTTTTGAATTCACTTCAATAAGCTTCCTTATCCAGACGGAACAGCACATGATTTATATTCCGTGCGCAGGGTTGTCCCGTGAAATGCCGATAAAACACATGTTTAATGCTTACGTGAAGCACCTGATTTAATGATTTTTGTGCACAGACAAGCAGGCTGAGTCCATCAGCTCTATGCAATTGAAAACTCGGTTTTATCGTGTATGCGTTTGTATGTTTAAATAAACGCAAGCATATTCTTGGTTCTTTCGGTGAAGTCACGTGACTTTACCGAAAGAACCAAGAATATGAATCCCTGCAGTCACGAAAGCTTTAAATACAAATTTAAGCGCAAGCAGTTTGTAACTTTTCATGAATCAATGAAAAATGTGGTCCAGTGGTAGCTTTGAATTTTTGCGGTCAATAAAATACTTCCAACAAGTATAGGCAATTTAATGAACAAGTGTACAACACATCTGTTCATTTATGTCAGCCAAAGACAATATAAACTACTGAAGATTAATTGAACTGCTTGAAAGAAAAGCACTTTAATCATCCTGAATACAACTGAGCATCCATAGGCCTTTTCTTAATTGCTTTTTGCTTCACAAATGACTTAAGCAGTTTTGAGCTATTTGGTGAAATGCCTATCCTTAGGCACAAGCCGTGAGCATCTTTGGAGGTCCCCTTGACTGACAGTTGATCGAATTTTCATTTAATATAAATGAATGTTGATAATTGTTCATTTTAGACTAAATGTTATTAATGTAGACTTGCTGTACATGGCTTGCTTTGACGTGGTTGCAACAATTTTTGCTTGGATATTGGCTTAAAGTAAAACTATAATTTTACGTCTGATGTGTAAAAATACATTTGGTTTTCAAACTTTAGGTAAATGTAGCAATATAAAAAGGAGACAATACTGAGAGGTGGTCTGAGTGTTCAGCAGAGACATCTAAGATGCAATAAGAAAGCCTTTGGAGATATTGGTCCAGGGCAGAAGCAGTAGAGGGAGACTGGGTGAGATGAAAGGATGTGGAGGACTGGTTGTGACCACAAAGAAGGGTCATAGAATACAAAGTACATCTATGGAAATAAAATGCGAGCTGCCGATCCCATGCAATAATGGAAATTTCCAGCTTAGAAGGAGATGCATAATGCACACATTTTACTTGGTTACATGCTGTGTGTACTTTAGATGCTGACATTGTTCGCTTCCTGTTTTATTGCTCGCCAGGTGGGCTGCTGATTTGCCTGCCACGCGAACAGGCCGCGCGATTCTGTGCCGAAATCAAATCGCCAAAGTACGGCGAGGGTCACCAGGCGTGGATCATCGGCATCGTGGAGAAGGGTGGCCGCACGGCCCGCATAATCGACAAGCCCCGCATCATTGAGGTGGCGCCGCGTGGGGCTAGCCCCACCGGCGTGGCCTCTCCCGACACGCCCACCGGCCCCCCACTCACATAGAGACGCGCGTACGCGGGGATGGGGTGGGGCACATCACCGCACACAGGCACCGCCAACTGACGCACAAGCATCACACGCACGCTCGGCCCTCCTGGGCTCCACGGAGATGGTTTTTCGTGTCTTCGTGGCACAAGCGCGGGGCTGGGTGTCTTGCAGTGTCCCGGTTAACAAACAGCAGCTACAGACCCCTGAACGGATGCGTCTTGCTCCGCATGCACTCACGATCGACTGTGCACGCCATCGCACGCTGGGTGCACTCGACGCATCCCACGCTAGCCCGCAGCGCGCCTGGCGTTGTAGCCCGGTGCACGCCGCGCACGCATGCACATATACCTTCACCCCATGACTACCTTGCCGCCTCCCCGCGACACTTGACAGCAACCCCATTGCTGACAGTTCATTTCTCGGCGAAAAGCAAACACTAATGTTCTGCTAGGACAGCATCATTCTGCCGATTTAGGAACGGAGCCTTTGTGGCTGGGCGCAGACAGAAACCCCATCATGTGATTTGTCGGTGCACATAATCTACTTATCAGAATTAAGAATGAATTTTTTAGACGGCTACATCTCTGCCGCAGTGAAAGCGATCTGCCGAAAGATGTAATTGTCCATCAGTGTTGCAATTTGGCCCCTTTTTAACGTCGAGCTGCAGTCTCAAATTGAGGATTAGCCTCGACTATGACCGCGAGAGGTCATGTTTTGCAAAATACTTCCATGGCTTCAGCGGCGGCTTGCTCATCAGACATTATTTTTGTAAGGCACATGCCCTTTAACTGTACCTTAAATTGCCTTGATTTTTCATACGCAAACGTTAACGTTATGATCGATTGCATTGTCCTCGTACGCGTGTAGCTTCTTAACAATAGGGGCCACCAAGGCCACGGCGCGCTGGTGCCTGCCCCCTGCCCAACCTGTGCGCCCGTGAGATTTGAGCAGCTCATGGGAGTGCGGTTGGAGGGAGCAGACTTGAGTTGTCTAAATGTGAAAACCTATTTTCTTTTAGGTGTTTTAACATTTTTACAAGCTCGTCACCACTCGCTGCCGATTGTCCGTTAGCCGGTTTCGCATCCGCCCCCTGAATTTGATGCTCTTCCCTCAAAAGGCGCAAGAGGGTTCTCTGAAGCCCGAGGGAGGGGCGGAATCCTGCCACAGGGGACGGCGGTGCATAACGGGGCTCGGACAATGGGGCCTTATGATCCCTTCATTGGTTGTTTGTGTTCTCCTTGAATTTTTTTTTTTTCAAACACTGGCGTTCTGTCTCACTTATGAAATGATACATTGGCGTAGATGTTAACAAATAACGATACTGTAACAGTGACCTTGGTGATTGATTTGGATACACCCTCCTTGTAGTACCGCATACAAACACCAATAAAGTGGAAACACACAACCATGGATTTCTTATACAAGATGTGTTGGGTCTGTTCTTTGCTGTATTTGTGTCCATTAAGTGGTATTTTTTGGGATTACGGTAATAATGGAAAGGGTATATGGAGTGTATCAAATCTAAGACCTACATTTCATTTAATGAACCACATTCAAACAGCATAAAATAGAGTAGTCCTCAGTTATGCCTTTTTGATGTTTGTTGGAGCTAAGTTGGAAGCTGGTCATATTTACTCTTGCCGAGGTCAGGTCTGCATGAGCATTACTGGTGTTTGTAAAATTTGCCGCATCTGGTGTGAATACAACTGCAATAGCAACATTACTTGCTGTGATTACAATTACTCAGCTGTCTCACGGAAGCTACAGTGCAGGTGATGTCTCCTGAATAATATACAATACAGGCGTTTTGCTTCAAGAGTGATGTACCATCTGCGAAAAAGCTGAGACGGTTCAGTCTCAACATTGTCCACTCTTGAACAACTTAAATTCACCACATGATGAACCACGGTGCTTGCAGGTGCCAAGCATGTTATTTTAAGGGTAGATGTTAGTGGGGGCAGCAGCGGTGCCCATGCAGGGGACCTCTGGTTCAAATATCACTTGCCACTGATGTTAGCCGTGGCTTGGAATCGAATCGGGGTTGCTGGGTTCATAGCCACGATGTGAGATGGAACAAGACTTCCTGTCCTCGGCATCTGCAATTAATTAGCCCCCCACCCATTACAGTGCCACCATAAGGCCCCCTCCCCCACACGACGAAGCACGGCACAGCTGGTGAACAGCTTCCGGCCGCCGTGCACCCACTGCCCTCACGTCAGGACGCACGTTGAAGGATCGGTCTCTGCTCGCTAAGCGAACGTTTTGCTCGTTTTGGGAATAAACTTGTCTCCATTCAAATTGCTCGTTAGAGCGAATTCTTGAATAAAGAACGTTCGTTAATCGAGACTAGCCTGGATTCAGCCAATCATGGCGCGTGGAACATCTCCCAAGATGTGTGCACCTCATTGTAAATGAGCTAAAAACAAGGGGAAGTAACGTTCTATCATCAGGCTACGATACATTACTCCATTTTGGCTTCAAAGCAAGTTGAAGGCAGCATCGTAATTGGGCTGATGTCTTTGAAACAAGCTTTAGATATGCTTTATATATGCTTTAAACATGCTTCATATATTTTGTGTGGGGAGCGATGGTGTAGCAGTTAGCGCGCTGCGCTATCAACCTGGCGACCCGGGTTTGATTCCCGCTCACGGCTAACACCAGTGACGATTATCTGAACTGGTCCCGGGCCTCCCCTAGGTCGACTCAGCCTCAAATGGGTACCTGGTGCGGTGTGTAAACATTGCCACTAGGGAGACAAAGGCGGTCGGGCGTGGTGCTGGCCACCCACCCCCTCGTGTACCGTTTCGGCCTTCATAGGTACTCGCTAACAGCACTTGCCCCTACAGTCTGTTAAGGTTATATGAGGGATCTTTATATATTTTGTGACCTTCAACATATCTGATGAGGAATGTCAAACTGCACACGTGTCACCCACCGATCCATTTCATTTATTCTTACAGAAAAATATTTTTAATTGCCATTTATTCGAGGGGAAAAATATATAATGTCCTTAATCCAGGAAAGCCTTGCTGAGTTTAAAGATTTTCAGGAGAGTCCTGCAAATGTGTTTTATCCAAATCCATGAACAAGCGTTGGGCATAAATAGCATGTGAAGATTTGCACAAAGGGGTTTATGAACCCGCCTGCTGCACTTCTGTCGCTTGGTTACCTTGTAGGTCAATGGGTTTGGGAGTTTCACCCGTCTGCGTGATTGGCCATCATCCCTTTGCCTCAAAAATGCTGGATCACAGGCGTGCGCTTCCACGCCTGGCTAGACAATGCACAACATTACATGACAGTGGTATCTGATATAGTAGCAACGGCCAAAGGGGAAATTAATAATTTTAACAATTTGTTGTAGTCTGGTGATTCCAAAATCTCATGGCCGGTTCTTTTAAATTGGTATCGTTATCTTCGGTGGAGCGGTGGTTAAGTTGGTTACTCTTTAAATCAATTCAGCAACATGACTTCGATTCCTGACCAACATCAGTAGCGAGTGATGCCAAGGTCTGGGAAACCCTTCATCCGGGAGTGGATTGGAAAAGGCTGTCTGTACATGATGTTCCTTATCTGATCTAAATGGTCTTATATTAGTAGTCTGGCAGAAGTTCTGGACGAGAGACTTCAATTACTGAAATTATTCCGCTCTTGCACAGTTGCATAGCTATACGTTTATTGAACAAGACACGGGCCTACTGACGGCGTGTCGAATTCTCGGCGACAACCCACAACAGATCGGATGTGGTGATGTCGGTCTCGGGAAAACTGTCGTATTTTCCACTCCGGTGCAGCGAACGCCATCTGTTGAGCAACAACGCGACACGTGAAGTTGCAACAGTCGCTGCAACTTCTTCACACCAGCGGCCGTTGCGACACAGGCTTTCCCAAACTATCGTTCCTCGTGCTCCACCACGCTACGTTCTTCCGCGTTTACCAATTTTAGTCTCGTTCAAATGAACTCGTTGCGCGCTGCACGCGCCCGATGAGCGTTAAACATGTCCCACGTGACGCACTAAGCAATTAACGCGGGCTGCTTCACGTGGAACACGTGCGCACGCGCGCGATACAGATGTAGTGGATTAAATAGGCGCATGGGGGTAATTGGTGAGTTTGCGCGGGAGCAGGACAGTAGGGGGTCATATTGGGACGATTGGGCCAATTAAGCTGGGGAAGCCAAGGACGGCTGTGATTGGCTGGAGTTGTTGTCAGTGCTAGTGGCGTCTTGAAGTCTGGCGAGGTAATAGGCGCACGGGCACGCGGAGCGTCGTTGGGACTGCGGGTTAATTAATTGGGGTGTAATGAGAGCGGGGATAAATTGGGGAGACGTGAGGAGAAACGGGGAGGACGAGGCAAGACGTGGAGCAGCTGAAGCGAGAAGCAGTTAGCAGTGGAGAGAACAGTGATAGCGAAGAGCGGAAGACAGACGAAGCAGTTAGCAGTGGAGAGAGCATAGTGATAGCAGAGAACAGACGAAGCAGTTAGCAGTGGAGAGAGCACAGTGATAGCGGAGAGCGAAGAGCAGAGGTGGAGCAGCCAGTAGTAGAGAGCGCATGGTGATAGCGGAGAGCGGAGACGAAGCAGTTAGCAGTGGAGAGAGCACAGTGATAGCGGAGAGCGGAGAACAGAGACAAAGCAGTTAGCAGTGGAGAGAGCACAGTGATAGCAGAGCGGAGAACAGAGACGAAGCAGTTAGCAGTGGAGAGAGCATGGTGAGCGCGGAGAGCAGAGACGAAGCAGTTAGCAGTGGAGAGAGCACGGTGATAGCGGAGAGCGAAGAGCAGGGACGAAGCAGCCGGCAGTGGGGGAAGCACAGAGACATCGGAGCTTACGGAGATTGGAGAGACAAAGGCGGGCAACAAGGGAACTGTGGAGCATTGAGGACATGTGGAGAACTGTAAATAAAGTGGTGTTGGAAGAAGGACAAAAGTTGTCCGAGTGAAATCAACCACTACACAGATGTCATTTTAATCCGAGTCGGCCCCATTAACGCGGACAGCGTTAACTACTGAGCGCGTCACGTGGGACGTTTACCAATCATCGGGCGCGTGCGCAGCGTCACACGCGTGAATTTGAATGGGAGCAAATTGGTAAAGACGTTAGCGTGGTGAGTCGCGAGGACTGGATTTTGGAGAACCCTGCGTCACGGTATCGGCTTTGGGGTGGTGAGGTCGCATAGCGCAATGGGTTTTTGTTGTATAAAAGACGGAGGGAGAGCTGCCAGCTGCCAACCCAATGTGCGCGCAGTCATCGCGATGCCGAACATGATTACACGCGATAAGGGTTATACACACGGACATTGCCGAGCATAACGTTGCCGTAATGAATGTTCGTAATTAGAGCCTCGGTCCAAATTGGGGCTACCCTTTGTTGACACGCGAACCTTGTAAATATAAGGAAAAGGATTTAGCATTTATCTGGCGCTTAAATGCCCCAATATCTAAAAGCACATTACGGAACATCTCGTATTAGTCATTTCAACGGTCAGCTGTAGTATGTCTTTATAGCCTGAGCTGTGTAATTATGTTGGATATGGGAAACCGTTGACATTCTTCTCATGAATATATATGATCAAGATCAAAACTCGCTGTTAGCCAATTTAAAATTAATTATCGGGCCCCCGCGATGTATCGTGCAGTCTCAAACTCCCAATTACTTTCAATCTTTGGCCTCGTTCTTTGTGCGCGATGCAAGAAGGGCCATTGCCCCAAAACGTCGCCTGTTGTACACTCATTTGGAAGGCCACACTATTAATTGACAAACGCGTTGAGTTATTTTGTTTTTTTTTGTGCTCGTACACCAATGCCAGCGCAGTGCAGTATCACCAAATAATTAGTTCGCCTCTGACCAAATCGGCCGAAAAGCACCCCGGTCTCGTCAGATCTCGCAACCTCAGCAGGGTTGACAGTAGAGGGCATTGCACACCATAGCGATTGCATGTTGACAACGTAAACAAGGTAACGTCCAAAACTTTAAATATCACTCGCATTTTAAGTTTAACACGTAGGCTTTCGCGACCAATATCATCCACAATCGTACTCAGATTGTAAATGTTGTGGCGTGGCTCTCCAACACACCGGTGTGCTGTACTCGTGACGAATTGGCCACGTTCTGTTTACATGACAACCCTTACGAGCTGCCTGTTCGGGTGGTGGCAGGTTTTAACGACACGTGTGTATTTACGCGATCTAACTCCCCAAAAAACTCTAATCACTCGCATTGTCTTGAGCTGTTCAATAATCTCTTGAATCAGCAGTGTACTATTCCCCCACGTCGATCCGTGCTCCCCGCCTTCACCAACCTGCACCGATTTTCACGAAGTATGTTCACATTTTAAAACTTTTTTATTATACCAGGCAAAGTCCACTGAGCTATACAGCTCCTTTTCAGAAGCGATCTGGCCACAAATTATAGCTCTACGAAG